TACTAACTGTTGTGCAAAGTTTTAGGAAAAAAAGCCTGTGTACATGTGCATGGTGTACTTCCGTATATGTTGCTGCGCATCGGATCGGAATTCACGACGACGCTTGATCGTCTGATGAGGGAGAAAATTAATCGCTTGATTCAACGGGAACTTGTTGAGAACGAAAGGCAAATGGACCAGGAAGCTAATCGTAATTTCATCTATGGAATAGAACCAGTCATGGGCAGGTAAAGCCCGAGTTTCCCACTATGTAGGCTTGTTTTGGGAATTATTTCTGCTTTATTCATTTACGAGAAGCGTTTGTAAATGCACGGGCGGCATCAGATTTCTTCGACAGTTCTATGAAGCTGCGTGCAGTACACAGAAGTGCTAAATGTGTGATAACGGGAGAACTGTCATCCACTGTGGAATTTAGTAACCATTCGATAAATGCTCCCATTTTCTATACTTTTTACTATATAGTTTTTACGGAAATTACTTATGGGCTCGATATTTCTATTAAGAAGTCCCATCTAGGAGTGAATCACTACCAGAACTCACTGTCATCGTAGTAGCCACCTCGTCACAAGATATCAAATCCCTGTGCGACCAATTCAAGCTAGCGACTGCCTGCGGTAAATACCTGGCAAAGCATGCGAGAATACATAGTGGAAAAATCTTAGCTGACCAACAAGTTACCAGTAATGTTACCGTGTCCGGTGCAGCATTGACAAGTTGTTCAAGTATGCCACTTGCCCTTTAACCCGTAAGTCGAGTGTTGTACTTCCGAACAAGCCTTATTTCTAAGTGAATATGTGCACTATGTGATGTGCCATTTAGCTACTACTTTATGACTATAATCTACCGTAGATCTCACAACCGGTTACCGCCTTATCGTGGCTGGGAGGTGTTCCTGGGTGTCGGGGTGGTGATGTGCAATGGGTGGATTCATCTCTCTGCCAAGGTTTACCATGCTGAGAAGTCCGGCGTTTCCATCAGGACGCACAGTTAAGAGTAAACCAATACCAGGATCAACCACCGTCCTGGTACCAAACTAGTCGCATGGTGGCAAATCTCGCTCTAATCCACAAGAGCTGCGACTACCTGTCGTGGTGACGACCTGGGGCAGACTTTGCCCAGGCTGTCCTCGGGAATCCAGGGAGCCACAATGGCTTAACCAACAAATCTCCGAAAAATGGTGATTTTGCTGGGACCCGCGCAAACATTAAGGACGGGCCATTTAAACGCATTTTAAGGGAATATTTTGAAAAATGTGGTGAGAAAAAGTAGTCTTTTCATGGTTCAAGTGTCTGTTTACTGCTGATTTCTTGCCTGTCAACGACAAAATTGCCTGCGTAGAATTTTCCTATTACCTCATGGAGTTATTTTATGTTTTTGGAAATAAGATCTGAAGCAAATACGAAGACGAATTTACCACGAAAACAGCTAAGACATTCCATGGCGGAATTTAGACTTCACTATATCGAAATCTTATGTTAAGGTCGATCTATGGTTATCACGAAGAGGAAGAATGCTTTGCGAAAGTTTCCTTCTTCAATCCTATTCATCGAACAAAGTAAGTTTGCTGATTGCAACAGTGAATAATGCGATTTCGTTGTCATAAAGAAAGGAACAAACAATACTTAGAGGTTCTAACACATGGAGAACACATGGTAATATTAATTTGTTGTATAAATCACAATGCAACCACTTTTATTTACTGCCTATTCTTTTCGCATGGCAGGGTGATGTGAGATACAATTACAGTGATGCTGAGATATTAGTAAAATTCCCGACCGCAGGTGTTTGCGGCGGGATCGAACTTTGTTAGTATGTTAAGTATCAGTTCCCAGGATTGACGATGTTGTTATACAGCAGGAATCGGTAGCGATAGTTGAAATACCACCGGCTACTCTACGTCGTCAGTTAGTTCGTAACCGCCTGTATGACCGTCTGTGTGAAACAACAAATTACGTAATTTGCCGTTAAGGCAGGGACGGTGATTGCATGAGTTCAGGTACGATATACCTGATCTCTTGTAACAATTGCGGAGATGAATATATTGGCGGAACGGGCAGACCTTTGTGTATCCGTATAAAAGAACACCTAGATGGCAAACGAAAACTAAGACGAAGCACCCCACTAGCCACGCATAGGATACAAAAGCATAGCGGAGACGATTTTGAAGTAGAAGTCAATATCCTTGCACAGGAGGCCAAAACACCAGCGCGAAAACTTCTTGGGGCTTTTTGGATAAATGCCAAAAAGCCTACAATGAATAGCAGGGACGAATGCCCGGAGGTCATACGCAACCTGATCCCGTATGTTCGCATCAATTCCTGATGTGCGATGGTGTAGTCATCAACCATGTGCGACTATAATCGGCTGTGCTAACCTTCCTCATTGGAAGTCACGAAAAAAGCGGTGAGTATTTCAAGAAGCTGTGATCATATAACTGCCATACAATTTTTCGTCCCTTTGTAAGTGTTATTAAAGCGTTTGGCCTAATAAATTGTATATCTATATACCCTCCCAGGCTCTGAAGAAGGCGATTACAAAAGGACGAAAAATTGTATGGCAGTTATATGATCACAGCTTCGGAAACGTCAGCTAGTGTTGTATTGTATTGTGTTTCTCTATGGATGTAAATGTATGCTGTATAATAACCCCGCGATTGCTGAACAATAAAGCGTCGCATTCACATGTTAAATATGTTAGCTAAGGGCTTCTGAAAGCAGTCTAGAGATGCCACACACGTTGATCACTTTGTCGACCACGCTTTGAGTCAAGCAAGCCTCCCCTCCCTCTGGTGTCCACGGATTGGTGCCAGACCTGACTGGAAAAATCTCCGATCAACAAGAGCAGGCGATCATTTGTAGTGAGGACCTGGTAACTATTACTTCCTTTGAATGCTAGGTTATAACGTTTGATGGAACCGGGGAATGAAATGAGTAAAACTTGTTGCATAGAATTTCGTGTATTGTTTCAAAAGAGCGATCAGAGCTATACCGGGGCAATCAGCCCATGGCGGAAGCTATGGTGGATCAGGTATACTAGAATCGTCGCTATTTGTAAAAGGAAATGTCGTTAATAATTTCTTTATTCTATATAGTTCATTATAAAGTTGGATGGCGACGTCTTTACACACAGTAAGGTAGGATGCAAAAGATATACCAGTTGCTGTTACATCAAAGAATATTACTCCTCTTACTCCTCTATGTAACTTGAGAAGTGAATTGTCGGAGGCTAAATTTAGAACTCTGACTCAAATTAACACCATGGTCGGGGTTAGTGATTCAGTATCTGTCCTGTTTTATTTCACTGTTGTAGCAATTGTTTTTGTTCGTAATCCCATATGGTCTTATTTTCAGCTCATAGTTTTTACAGAATTTACAAAATCTTTTTTGCTTTTTATAAGATAGTTTTCATTCATGCAGGCAAAAATTAAGCTTGGCTGATACTCTAAACTGTTGGCTGATATCTAAAACATTACTGGAAGCATATCGTATCACAGGTTGCTGAATGCTTTGGCGAGAGAAGTCGAAGAGTTTCCTACTATGCAACCATTTGAGGCACACACCCCGTTTGTTCTTCAGGTACACACAGTTTGTTGTTCTTTTCGCTTTTCATAAGAACTACAGTGTTTATAACACCTCACTTACAACTCAAAATCTGTTATCCGTTGAAAGTTGGGCCTCTTTATCTAAGGAACAAAATTTTGCAATTACATTGGCAATACAAATGGTTAGGGCATGTTTTTCTTCTCGAGGCATGTATATCGTTAAGTTCTTCATTGACAACTCGATATTTGGAATGGATGATGTGTTCTTCGAGCACGTTCAGTATCGTGTTGGATCAAGTTATGATGCTCAAGGTGACAGACATTTTAATTTGCTTAGATAATTTTGATAAAGGCGATGTTAGTGAAGTTGATCATTTTTGATAGAATCATCTCTAGCAACTGCAGTTCCGTCAATCAGTGAATGATTTCTTAAAAGTTTTTTTAAAGTTCTAATTTATTCTCAATACACAGCATTTGTGTAGTTGGTTCTGCTCACTCGGAGGAAACGAGATGCATATATTTCGTATAAGGCTGTTAATTTTCAAAATTTTTCTTGTCTCTGCGTTAGAACACCTCGTCGAGTTCTACCATAAGAGACTGGTAGTTCGACGGACAGCTTGCCTGAATCATCCCAGTGACTTTCACAATAATGACCACTTTTATTCTGTTAAAGTACTTTATTCATCACTTGTTCGTGAGCTGCTAAATAGGTATCAATAATTGCTTATGTGCGGGTTACCTTGCTTCTAGATCTCTATTATGAGAAGTTTATTTTGTATTAAAGCATAAAGAGGATAAAGCTCTTGGCGTTGATCTATCTGTGAGAGATGCACCAAGCATTCGATTTCACTAAGTGTCGTTGGAGGTAAGTGAATGGATATCTGGCCTTTACAATGACTCATGGTGGCGTACCGATGTATTGAGCCGATGCAGCCATTCTCCCAGACAAGTTCAATACCAATTTGCGGACTCCGAAGAGATGGAGGGCTTGGTAGACCTGGGGCGCGAGAATCGATCTCATGTGTATTGCGGAGTGCCTCTGACCACTGCGCTATACGCGCCTGTATTAAAACAGATTGTGAAGTTCATGCTTGATTTATCAAGTAACTCAAGCGCGCAGTGAATCGAGTTCGATGCGTGAAGCGCAAGGTTGTTTTTAACATTGCGTCATTTCTTCTTTTACATGAGCAGGTCGATTGTTGTTGGTTTGAAATAGTGAAGTATCTGTTTATTTTCACTTTCCAGACACTGTCACCGAAGGTCTCACGATCAGTGATGTGATAAAAAGGTGGGTTTTCGAGGTGTTCTCTTGTTCGATCTTTGAAATTATAACGAATTGAATGATATTGATTCACATTTTCGTCTGTTCTCCTTACTGAACAAAAATCAATCAAGTTTATATTGCTAGACGACTCCTAGCGTTTTTCATTTGTAACACCAATAATTTAGCGCGAGTTTGCTATCGCCGTTGGCCCCGATGACATCCTGTGCAATTGAATGTGATGCCGTGGTCTCTGACATTATGAACAAGAAGCTGCATTCCGCTAACGGTGTTGCTTATCCAGTATCCTTAGTCATTATTCGACTCACTGAACTTATATTCAGTCCATTCTTGCAATCCCGGATTGGAGTATATCTGGCGAGAAGAGGTTGCAAGATGCGCTGCTCAAGGTCGGAAGCTCGAAGACACATTTAACAATTGTAAGTTATTGGATCAGTCGTGAAGCATAGTTTTGTTCTTTTATTTTATGGTCTTCACTTCACTCAAGATGAATAATCCCCTTCTTGTTTTTGAAGCAAAGAGTCACCTTTTAACCTATATATTTACTTAGGAGCAATTCGTGGTAGTACAGGAGGTTTCAAAACCGTATCAGAAACCTGAGTAACGACGTCAACATACCTACGACTTCAGGGCAATAGGCACCAAGTTCATTGTAGTGAAGTATGCAATCTTTTTTGTCGCTTGGAAATAGTACCATAGCAATAAGTAAATAGCACGTGAATGGCGTTCATGTGGTTCTCTGGTTGGAAGTACCCAGGGATTTTCAATCAGATTTTGTTAGTTGGTGCATGGAATGAAGTCTTGAGCCAATTTTTATAGTTTACGCGAAGCAAACGCAACATTCTTTTAGGAAAAGTTTGCATAGTAGATGTTACATCCCACTATTTGAATGTATTAAGTGTGTATCTTATATGTCTTCGTTATTAATTGTTACTGGTCTTTAATTCTGATTAGTGTAATGTTGACATATATTTTTGAGTTGTTTTTGTGAACTCCTGTTTTATACAGGTCTTTGAAGACTTTCTATAATTTGAAGTCATGAGGTTGATGCGATAGCTTGCTTTCTCAAGATAGCGTACCTGTAATGAAGATGCTGGACATACACCTCTCGGCATTTGCCTACATATTGCGCAATAGTAGGAAAAAAAAACTCAGCTCTTTTCACGGCGCTGATCAATCCTCGAGGGATGCGCCAGGCATTCCACTTCATTAAGCATCGCTTGGAGATGATTGAATGCATATCAGGCCTTACTCGCGGTGGCCTACCGATGTATCGAGCCAGTGCTGCTATCTTCCAGACAAGTGTGGTACAAATTTGCTAATCCTGGAGGAATGATGAGCTTGGTGGGCCTAGGGTGCGGGGATCGATCTTAGGTGTATTGCAGAGCGCCTTCAACAACTACACTACGCGCGCTCCCATTGCGCGGTAGTACGTTACAAAAATATCGATGGTGTCCAGTTTATTGAGAGCATTCTGTCTTACGGTTAAGTCGTCACAGTTGAAATTTGCTATGCGCAACAAGGAATGTTAAATACTTTAGCGTATACTGTGTTTTCACATCCTCCAATCGTTTCTCAGATCATCGTATCTGAGGGATATTTGTGCATGATGTATATCAAGTAAAGCGCGGGTTCATCCCCAACATGGTTACTCAGGCTAAAAGCTGGTTCAACATATTAAATTGGATACATAGCTAAAGGCAAACTAATGGAAACTATTCGCAAAGTGGCAACTCTCCTTTCGAATGACAAGTGTCACCAAATGGCTGCAGAGACATCGTAGGAACTCTATAACAAGGAGTTTCTGTGAACTCTAGGTAGAAGTCATGCGAAACCAGCGAACTACCAATATAATGGAGAGTACGTGCTTGCACCTGTACTACTGTTGTTGTTGACGGAACCAAGCATTTTTCCGTTTCAGTAACAACCAGGTTTTTCAGACACTTTCACTGTATCCAAGTGAAGAGCCCTCAGTTTTTTTCATTCAAATTCATTTCTAACGTTTCATTCAGGAATAATTCTTCTTGGAAAAATATTGATGTCTAAGTTAAGCTCAAATTTATTAGCGTCAACTGTGCCACTAATGTTGACTTGGGTAATCGAACATCAGTTCATCTTGAGTCAGGCATGTGCCATCAGAATCACTGTTCTAACCGTATTTCGTTATTTAAACTCTTTCGCTTGGACTATACTTTTAGTTTCAATGTTGCTGAGATATTTGCTATAACTACAGCCTCAGCTTAACTGGGTTCGTTGCCGATTTGAGCCTCCCAGATCAATCCCGCTGACAGGTGATTGCTGTGGCAAAGATCGATAAAACTAGCTGAGAGACAGGCGAAACGAAGGACCCGTATGGTGTGGTGGTGAACGCGCTACTCACCGGAAAGGACAATAACGCGTTCGTCCCCCACCGCAGACACCTGCGGCCGGAGTTTTTCAAATAACTTAGCATCATTGAAGTTGCATTTCGTAATATACCTTGCCATTAAAAAAAGAGTAGGCAGTAAATAATAAGTTGAAATTATGCTTTTAAGATTTTCAGATACTCCTCGTCCATACTGGAGAAGTCAAGCAGAACTTGATATGTTACATAGAGTTGAACAACTTGCTACGAAGATGCACACTGGTGACGTTGGTGTGACTACCACTCCCACTCTTGACGGCATGTTGTTCCTATTCCTTCATATTCTTTACCTTATTGGTTTCTAACACGTATCTATTAAAAGGTAGTGATTTGAGGTTCGTTTTCTTATGGAGGAGTATCACCATCACTTAGTTTATAGTGGTTTCAACTCTTTTGTACCACATGTCCTTCATCGCTTTAAGGCCGCGTGTAACGCTGCGGTTAGAGATGATCCGTGATACACGTGTGATCGTTAGTTCGGTCCAGCGCCTTAGGTACACTAAGCCGCCCATTCTCTGGGGTCGACAAATTGGTACTAGACTTTTATGGTCGGATAACAACACCCAGTTAATAAATCCTAGCCCACAGCAAGTCGTTGTACACCCAGATACGTTTTCAGTGGCTTCAAATGATTAACGAAGACGAATGAATGGCGCATCTCCTAAAAATTGATCCACCCCGGATCCACTTTTATGCTTTATATCGCTTGAATGACCCTTAGTCATGACGAGTCATGCTGGTGTATCCATAATTTACGTTTCATTGGTATTTCGCCTAAAATAAATTTTTCCATAAACTTTGGCTAATTCCGCTTAGTGGTCCCGCTTTAAAAAACTGCAATCACATTTCTGAATAAGGGAAAATTTTGTTACCGATGAACAGGAGTAGCTTATACCTTGCTGTGCATTCGAATGGAACTCTCGAAAACCTGCACACATTGCTGACGTAGGTAGTGAAACTCGGCTGCGCACTAAACACTCCAGGCGTTGAAATACTCCAAACCACAATGATGTGGTGGGGTTTCTAGGGTAACTTGTGCGAAGTTCTTGAAACACCTTCAAGTCCAGTGGACTATTTTGTTTTTCGAAATGGCACGCGTTATTCAAAGCGGGCAGTTTGTTACCACTGTGCCCGTTAACACGAGGTTATCTACCAGGTTTCCAGATATTCTCATTCTCTTTGCCGCCTACTCCACCAATACGTATAAAGTAGGATTTATGTTCGTCATGTACACTTTTTTAAATCAAAATTGAAGGCTATTCCAGAGTCGGTAATTTCTGATTATTCTACTATTGTTGATGAGGTCAATTTTGACGTGACTATCCCATGGACGGTAGATTCGAAGAATTGCGAACTAACTACTGCCCCAGAAGAAGTTAATGTTGGTGAAGCGCAAGATGAAAACGATGGTGATATGATGGTTGAAGAAGTTCTTATGACACAGGTTATGGAAAGTTTGAAAGCTGAGGACGTGGACAATGAGGTAGTTCTGTGGTAAAACTGTAGCTCTTGCACGTAAAGGTTATGAACTGATCAATGTAACACGCATTTCAAATTCCGTCACTTAACACATATTTGAAGGATAATTTTTAGCCGTGTAATTTTAGACCGTAAACTATTTTAGGTCCACCAACAAGCTATCGAGAAGTTTTCCTGCGATTGTGAATCACCTCTAAAGCCTTGCGATTCCAGCCAATCGTGAGTAAGAGAAATGTTGAAGAAACAACATTACGTTGCTAAACTGTGCTAAAGTGATGTGGCAAACTATTGTAGACGAAGGAGTAAACGTCTTTTATTCTTTTAGTTTCTCTGAAATAAGATTATTCGGGTTCAGGCGGTGGGTCACGCTTGATATCGATCTACCTCTAAGGTGTCGTGAAGGCACAGAAGTCCAGCAATCTGTGTCATATCCTTCCAATGTAACTCGAGCATTCGAAGACGCCAGCTTCCACCCGGTTCGGTATCCGTGTGACCGTATTGTTATATAGTGCATCTTTGTCACTAACGATGCTTGTATTCAATGGTACAGAATAGATTTGTGGTTTGGGTTTGTATGACTGCAATAAAGGTGCAAATAGCTTAAGTAAGAGGTCCACGTTTTTCGTTAAAGGACCAATTTTTTCTTTTCTTCATTGTTTACAATATCTCCGTCTATCTGTGGACTACATTTTTCTTTCAGATGCCTATGAACTTGGCAGTTAACGATACAGCTATACTGAGCACATCAACTGATGGTACATTTGACTTCATTTTTTGACCTAATAAGAGTGAAATAAACAAGCCAGTGATTCAAAAAGTTTAGGGTTATGGTATTATTCAATGTCTTAGATGTTGTGCTATAGTGTTGCTTGACATCGAAATTCACTCAATCGTTGAATACAGTTACTAGCTAGTGAGGTGTAGCTAGGACGTTCAGCAGGGCATTGCTCTCAACTTTCTTAGCGTTGCGGAATTCTCTTGTTGCCATTACCACCATACTAGATTCATTTTTTGCTAGCTTATTACATTAGGTCTTGTGAAATACTCGTAATTTGTTCTTTTAAGGAGGGGAAGTGGATTTCGCGGATGGTATGTCGGAAATTTCGAATCTAAGTGCGGCAAGCTTAGAACTTCTCGTCTTTACATGCGCATCAATTCCAGATCCTGAGGTAATTTCGCTAGTTAGCTACTATTATAGTCGAGGACAGTAGTAAAGGAGGATGGATGGAAATTTTACAAGGCTGATCACACAGTGGTATTATGGTGAAGATCAATTTTATACTTCTCCAGTCAATATTCTCCTAAAATGGCAAATCAAACGGATAGCTCATAGTACGCGTAATAGTGAAATCTAGAACAATCCACCTTTTCAAAGATTCGGAATCTGCAATCGGGAGGACAAATTTCATCTAAACGAGATTGGTCGACACAAGGAAAGTAATTCTTTTATGATTTGTCGTAAGTGAGGTTGCGGGAAATTTCGAATAGGTCAAGATTTTTTTATGCTGTTTTTAATCTAAGTGCTACCTTCACGTTGAAAGTCCGCTTTTCATAATAAATTATTCCGCATAATTGAGAACAAATAAAGTATGAACTTTGTTTTACTTCTAATATATGTTCGCCGACAACCCTCTAGTAGTTCACCGAATCATCATGGTTTGGAATATTTATGAAAGTCGAACTTGTAACGACAGTGGGCATTATTCCCTCCGTAAAGGTCATACGAGTTGGAGGAAGAATCAGCATTCCCACCGAGAAACCCAGTTTACAATAAACTTGCGTCATCGGGTGGCTAATAAACTATCTGTCGCTCTCACTTGTTTGCCAGAAAACACTGAAAAGGGTCGTTAAATATAAATCGGGACGCTTCTTATTATTCGGACAATCAGAGTTCAAGGAGCATTTCTCTTTTATTATAAAACGGAAACGAACGAAGTTTACTGATCTTAAGGTACATCGTGATGACAGAGGTGGCAAGTAGTAGGAAAAGGGAAAAATCTATTTTCTGCGTTGTAAAAACTTCATAGTAATTTTTGTGGATATTGAAAGGCAATTGGTCAACGATTTCAGTTCGATCCCATTCTCGGTTTCTCTTTCTGCCTTGTTTCGGACGTATGCCGCACTTCTTCACCAACTCAGCATCTCTTCGTCACCACTCTACCAGTTCAGGTAATCGCCATTCTCCGTTAATCACCTTATGTACCATTTAGCTACTTTATGTCTTTTGTTGGTACTTTCTCCACAAAGATGCTGAGATATGAGCTAAAGTTGGATCCTCAGTTGGGCTTCGAATTCGCGATTACCCTCCTCATGGGCTCAGGTGTTCTATATCACACCAACCCTTGCTTTGCCTTTCTCTTAGCCACTGATTCGAAGTCCTTCTGAGGTTCCGAGTTTCGCTCATCCGCCCTTGTTATATTTTGCAAATTGCTCGGCCATAGAAAAAACGGTAGGCAATAAATATTTTTAAAAAGTTAGAAGTGATTTCGACCGCAGCTTCATCTTAACTGCGTTCAATGCCGTTATGCACTCCCTAGATCATCTCTTTTGACCCTGAAGGCACGATTAGGGAAAAAACTGACTGAGAGATAGACAAAGTAAGGGCCTCGATGGTGCACTGGGTAAAACGTGAGCCCCGAAAAGGTTAGTCGCGGGTTCGAAACTGGTCTGCAGTCCGAGTTTTGCAAATATCATAGCATCATAGTTGTCTTTCACATAATACCATCTCAAGAAAAAAATAGTACGTAATAAATGAAAGTTAAATATTCTTTGCACTTAATCTTTGTTGTATTTTCATACAATGGAGGAGTGTAGCGCATTGGTTTGAGATGAAATGAAAACACACGTGGTCATTGGTTCGATCCCATGTCCTGAGATCGCCACGCTTTCCATGCCTCCAAATCGGGCAAATTGGTACCAGACTTATGTAAAAAGATAGCAGCACTGGTCGTTCTTAACCTTTTTAGCTCTGTTTTATTTTATTCAGCTCAGAATAAAGTTTTAACGGTGTGGTTCAACTTTCATGAACGCACATAATTAGTAATTATGCTGAATGCATCGTTAATGTTTACGACGGCGGGGTTTGCTTTAGCAATTTTTGAAAATCTAGACTTGAAAGAAGTTTAAGACGCGTATGCTATCTAAAATATCATGCATACCTTTTGACCGCTTGTCCTCATACGTTTTATCGAGCTGCGGAGTACACAGAGATCCGACTTTCTATCCGTGTAGTAGAACAACGTTAGGAATTACCGCCAACCAAGTGCAACATAGTCGCAAGGTGGTAGGTTTATCTCCGATTCTTAAACGTATGTGGCTGTTTGTTGTAGCGATCTGGGAACGACTAACACGGCTGTAAAGACTCAAGGGGAAGGAAATGATGCCCGATTAGCACATTTCCAGTTAAATGGAGCTCTGGCTCAAGTTCGACATGATAATAGGCCAATTTCGTGTTCGTTTTAACAGATAACAGAAGTAACTGCTAAATCATTAGCATTTTTGTCATCTAAAATCCGAGGTCTACCATGAATAGTGTTTCAGTACTTTTTTGCAGGATGTATTTGAGTGTCGGTATTTGACTCTCGCATTTATTCCGTCTTAATCTTGCATTCATATTTTTATACTAAAGCTTAATCACATAGAAAACTATTGATATTTCCGGTTTATTCTCTTCCTATATCTTTTTTTCTTTCTTTCTTTCTTGTTTTTTTCGTTTCATATTGCTTAACATTATGTTCTGTATTGTTATCATTACTTTTTGTGCTAGTGTTTTTCTATTTCAGTTGCTGTTGACCGAAGGGATATATTATGTGCCTGATGAGCGATCACTTTTTGAACACCTTGGGGATGTTGTAAAGAAGTCGGTATCACTACCTTTTATTTTTTTTTCAGTAGCATAGTTCTGTAAGTAAAAGTTCACATTTGAGATACGATCCTGACATTCTGTTTGGCTATGACACGTCGCGTCTGTCTTGGGGTTACGTTCTCAAAAGAGCGTCCGTCATTGGATGTGTTAACTTCCACCAAAGCATCAGTCGATATACTCGAGTTATGCTGCTTACTTTTTTCTATTTCTCCTTTATTTCGCTTTAAACACCTTAGTTAATTGGTGATAAACACGACTTAATTTCTTCTCTGATTCTTACTTTACTGTTTTGCAACATAAATCACTTGCCTATTTCTTCACAGAGACTTTCAGCATTTGTTTAGCATTTTCTAGACATTTCACGTGGTCTTATTTTTTAATGAGTAGTTTTAAGCTATCAAGCACTTTTGGACGCTCACTATGATCTTCCGGAAGGTGTCGTGCCACCATTTGGAAGACTTCTCCGAGCTGTTTGGAGGATCGTCCGTTCCGATTTGCAGTTGAGGTGCTTGATTTCTGCATGTTTACTTGAGAAATTGAAATCGTGTAACCGAATGGTTTTATCTACAGCAGGGGATATTCTATATATCCCTTATGAGTGGTTTTTCTAGATTACCAGTGATAGCACCGACTTGAGTTATAGCAACATAATTATTTTGTATTGTGAAAACCACACAATTCACTTGCTTCTATATTATTTAAGCTTCCTACTTCCTCCATCTACCTTGTGTTACAATACAGCCTATTTGGTCGAATTAATATGTGTTTTTGGATCTCGTCGTTGTTCTTAGCGCTTTCAAAATAACTTCAGAGAAATATGAAAATAACAGTGCAATCAAAAAGAATGAGTATTAATATTAATACATTTCTTGAAGAGCATACGACAAAGCTACGACAACTCTGAATATTTTGAAAAAGAAATTGCCGATTCTTGATGATCGATCGCTCTGCCAAGAGGTGCTGGAGTGTAACAAACCAAGATAGTAAGACATTCTAGGCACTTTAGTCCTTTCCAAGACTTACTGTTAGCGAAGAATGTGTTTCAGTTTGGCAGTCGCCAAATATGTCAACAAACTTTCGCTTCTCAATATTTCACTGTTAAGTGAAATTAACTGGTTTCTGAAAACGGCTGAGATGGCTCGTGTCTACGGGATTCAATTTTATGAGTTGTGTTTTTGAACATGCGATTTTCAGTTGTTTCTATTTGGTATATCTTTGAACCTAATTAGGTTCAAAAAATTGTTGGAATGCTCTCAATTAAACGAGACTGTTAAGCTAAGTTGGTGGCTTTGCACTATCTACATCATTGAAGAGATTTATAAAACGAGAAGGTATGGAATGTGAAGATTCAGGTGTGGAGTAGAGGTTCTCAGTTACGTGTGGAATCGATGATGTTCAGACTTGCCCATACACAACATTATTTCCTTCCATCGGTGACCCCATCGCAGAGAATGAAGTAGGTTTTGTGTACAAGTTGACTCTTTTACGAAACTTCCTTTTTATGCACTACACTGACGGTACAATTCATCCACAATATGTTAATGTTTATAATTATCCTGTGATTGTCAGAAAGATTGTACTGTGGAAGTCTTAAGGAAACTTATAATTTTTCAGGTGATGCAAAAAGTCATTTATGAACAAGTTGTTTGATCGCTAATGCCTTGCATTTTCTAGGATGCAGGCTCCCGAGCAGCTACAGCTGATTATGGAACCACTTTCGGCCGTGTATTTTGACCCTGTGATAGTTCTTGACTTTCAAGTACGTTATTTCTTTTATTTTTCGTAATTCATTCATTCATTCATTCATCACCATCACTATCATCGTTTTTTCTTTGAGTCTACTATCAAATCTTCATCAGTAAATGTTTTCATAAACCCGATCAAAGTTATTTTCCAGTCTTTATATCCGTCTATGGTTATCGCCTACAATTATTGTTTTTCAACATTGTTTGGAAAGGTAAGATATTTTTGTTTCATGAAATAGCGACGTGGGATCCATCAATCTGCATGATAACTATACAGACCGAATGAATATTTAATCCCTTTACAGCGCTTAATTTGATTTCGATGCTTAAGATGTTCAATTGTAACTTGGATATAGTAGCGGTCTGAATTTTTCTTGAACAGTGCTTCCATTACTTCAATATATTTCTTGCGTCTCCCCCGATTTCTTATAAATTTTATGGATATCCAGGACTTCCAGGTTTCCGAACTGGAGAGTATGCATCGGAACAACGAGGACGTTATAGAAATCGGCGCGATAAAGTACAAGGTTCAGGTTGGTGCTTTTTTTTGTTCGTTTTAACAATATTGAGCAAATTTTTGGATGCAAATGCTGCTTGGACCTAATTTAACTGAGCGCTTTTAAGAGCAATCATGAAATTGGTCGTCATTCATCGCTGGCATTTGGAAGTATTTTGCAGCTTATGTTAATTCTATTTCTCTATTCTTCATAGCCGCCCATACCATACGATAACATTGATTCATTATAGCTGTTGCGACTGAAGTAAGCCAATTATCAGTCAACATGCCAGTCAATGAACCCGTTCATAGAAAGTTTTTTCTATATTGCTTAATGCGGAATAGGACTTTTCTCGGAGTAGGCTACAAGATCTTTGTTGGACAAGGTATCGATTACAATGTTGCTGAGATGTTTGCAAAACTACGGACCGCAGCTGTCTGCTGTAGAGAACGAACGCGCGTTACTCTTTCCGGTGGCTAACGCGTTCACCACCACACCATGTGGGTCCTTCGTTTTGCCTTTCTCTCAGCTAGTTCTATCGATGGAAGAAGGACCTGCATGGTATGGTGGTGAACTCGTTACTCCCCGGAAAGGACAATAGCGCGTTCGCTCCTCACCGCAGACACTTGCGGTCCGGAGCTTTGCAATTCTCTCAAAAACATTGTGGTTGTATTTCGTTTAATACGCTGCCGTAAAAACTGTAGTAGGCAGAAAATAAAAGTGAAACATTGTGATTTCGATGTTACACCTTTTTATTTTCTGCCTACTGTAATTTCGCGGCAGGGTACTAAGCGAAATACAACCACAACGTTGCTGAGATATTTGCAAAACTCTGGATCGCAGGTGTCTATGGTGGGGAACGAACGTGCTATTGTCCTTTCCGGGGAGTAACGCGTTCACCACCACACCATGTGGGTCCTGCGTTTCGCCTGTCTCTCAGCTATTTCTATCGATCTTTTTGCCCACCATAGACACCTGCGGTTCAGAGTTTTGCAAATATCTCAGCAACGTTGTGATTGTGATTTCAATTGCAGCGCTAGCTTAGCTAGGTTCAATGCCGTTGTAGGCTCTCCAGATCAATCCCGTTGGAAGGTATCGATTGTTTACTAGAAGTACCACAGAGATCTATGTGGCAAAATAAGCGACCGAAAACGAATGCATTGCTTACGACACACTTAGTTAGTTCCTTCTTAGAGCGTTACATCATATATTGTGTAGCTCGTCGCCAATATATTATTATTAATGATATGGTTGGTTGTTGCTTCCTTAAATTCTCATTCTGGACTCTTTAATATGCCTTCGTTGTTTTACGTATTTTTAGTTCCCAAAATTCAAAAGAAAAACATGTATGCCATATGTCATCTCCTTGCTCACGGTGATTAACTTCCATCAAGTAGTACATTAAACATAATCACTAGTTAAACTCTGTAGGATATTAAACCAACATATGTAATCCACGTTGAGAAAAAATAGTGGTGGTTTTTTGAAAGCAACTTCTAAAGGATATAACATAGCTTAAAAATTGTTCTTGCACGAGTTAACTCAATGGAGAATGCTCGTTATGCCACGTGGGTTTTTTTAGAAGTACCAGAATTCGGGCCACAAAATTGAGCAATTTCACCTTTTTTTTGTTTTTTAGGTACTGTTTTTTAATGTTATTTCTGAAGAGATCTTTTTCAAAATAAATGTAAATTTACCTAGAGTAACAAAGGTTGTTAAGTGCGTAACCTTTTATGCATTTAAAGAGTTTAACTAATTCCGCGAAAAGTTTGCAAGCCAATGCTACACTCTAATAACTTCCTAAAAAACACCAATGGATACGATATCCCATAAATTAGTGGTTTAAAACAATATTACCATTCCATATCTAAGAGGAGCTTTTGTTTTTGTTGAAAAAGTTTGAATGTGAATAAAATTTCCTTGTATGTGTATGCGATGAATAGTAGTGAAGGAGCCATTTATTCAAAACAGTTTGCTATTTCATCTCTCCATAGAGGACAAAGTATGTTCATTGCTGGTAAAGCAATTTATTTCTCTTGACTACTTGTTGTTACTTGAACAAAGGATTTTTATGCTCTCATCATAGAGATAGAGAATTATGGAAAGGAGAACGAACATTTACTTTAACTTTACTTTGTAGTTCGTTATCGTGGAAAGTCATTTACACTATGGATTCTTATTCATTCCATAGGTATGAATAGGAATGAAATTAGAACGTACCATGAGACTGTTAGGAATACCACAATTTTAACTTTTTATTTGCTGCATGCTACAATTTTTCAACGCTGTTGTGCTGATGTTACTGGTAGATAGAAAACTAGCTCAGAGACAGGCGAAACGAAGAACCCGCATGGTGTTGTGGTGAACGCGTTAGCTCCGCGAAAGGGTAATAGCGCGTTCGTTCCCCGCCGCAGACGTCTGCGAGCCGGAGTTTTGTAAATATCTCAGCATCATTAATTTTAATAGTGTTTAGAAAATATACAAAGCAGTGGGACGGTCAGAGTCCACATTCTGTTTAGAAGTCATCACTGATGGAATGCGCTCTCAAGAATCAACTGCATTGCTCGCCACTATCGGCTGCCTTTGCCACCCATTCACAGCGGAATGGTGTTCTTCCCACGTTGCTTCGTGAAGTACGATAGCACATAAGTCACTTCTTGGCAATTACTGGCTTTTTTTAGGTTATTGGCGCCCGGGTAATGGTGAAGAATTCGATGAAGCATGCTACTAGCAAGGTTGTCCTTGTATTCTTTTATTTTTGTTGTTTGCAGTCGATGCTGTTCTGTCGTTGCTGCTATTAATGCCGCTGATACCGTTTTGTTTTATTAATTAACAATCTTGCGTTTTTTTCAATGCTGTTCATTACTTTTGCTTTTTATATGTGGCTCTAGGTATTTATCTTTAAAATTTTCGTGACAATGTGGATTTTTCGATAACCGGAGTGGTTGGAAACTTCAAAAATCTAGAGAGGAAACTTCACCGTGTCGCTCCGAAGACATCTGTGTATAATTTTCCAAAATAAGAATTTTAAAGGTCTTTTGAAAAGTCTTCTTGTATTTTGAGATTTTTTGATCCCAAGATAAATGCAATGAAATATCACTTCGTTGTACTTGTGGATGATGATTCTTCACAGTTCGTTTGGGTCTGAGAACGGTATCATTTTGAGTTATGAATATAACTGATTGATATGCAATTTGTATTCCATATTGAATATGTATTCCATTGGATTTCGAAGACAAAGTAATTCCGTGTGACCGTTGTAGGCGATATGGTGGTAATTTTAAAGTGGCTCAGCGTAGAATTGGTAACGAAGTATACTTTTGACCTATTTTTTTAGAGGCTCAAACGAATCCTAGATGCCCGTCAATTAGCACTAAAGCTCATTGCTAACGTAACTTATGGTTACACTAGTGCTAACTTCAGTGGAAGAATGCCGTGTGTGGAGGTAGGATTTCTCACGAAGATAATATGCAGCTTTTTCTGTTTGCTCTCGTTGGAAGGCTTTTGTTGTTTGAAGGTGTACTTGGTTACCTGGATACTTGGATGGCCGGTCTCCACTGGTTGTGCGGGTTCCAACATAATTTCCGTTGTTTCGGGGTTTTACTGGTTTATTCATTATGGTTCCTTAGAGTTTCGAGGACAGTCTGGCCAAGGTCTGCCCCTGGTCGTCATCACCACAAGCAGTCGCAGCTCTTGCGGATCAGAAGGAAATTTGCCAGTGTGCGACTAGTTCGATACTAGGACAGCGGTGGATCCTGGTATTGGTTTACCCTTCGGTGGGCATCCTGATGTAAACGCCGGACTCTTTCTCCACTTGGAGGCCTTGCTCGGAGGATGAATCACCCCGCTGTACATCGCAGCTCAACACCCAGGAACACCTCTCAGCCATGATGAGGCGGTAAACTGTTGGGATGGAAAGTGTACTAGGTAATCATGTTCACTTTATTAATTGACTCTAAGTGGAATCTAGTTCAACGATATGGTTTGTTGCAGTTGATCTTTCAGTGATGAACTCAACCGAGACCAATCGTATTAAGATAGTCGTAAAACTCAAAATGAATATATAAATTATTGGAGCGAATCTTTAAACAATGGACGAGTTTCCTCTCACGGCATATATAAGAGCAGAACAAAAGCCAATGGTTGGCATATTGTTTTTGTAGTCCTTCGAAAATGATTCAATACTGGTTGCCCAATTCGGTGTCAAACTGAATATTATGTTCTGTTGGTTGCTTCTTTTTCAAATGATCACATTTCCAGGTTGCGGACGCTATCTTAGGAAAAGGACGGGAGACTTTGGAACGGGCGATCAGTCTGGTGAACAGAGGTGATTACAGTGGGGCCAGAGTAATTTACGGCGATACTGACAGCATGTTCGTGCTCGCCCCAGGTGTGTAGTATCGAATCATGTGTATCGCATGATGCGTTTGATACTCTAGTGTACTTCAATTCTTCAATTCAGGCGCAACCAAAGATCAGGCGTTTTCCATCGGTCGTCGCATAGCTGCCGACGTCACAAACGACAATCCTGCTCCCGTCGTTCTTAAGTTAGAGAAAGTGTGTTAAATATTATTCCACTTTTCTTGAACATTTTACCTCCGTTAAATATAATATTAATTAAATTGCTTCCGAAGAGCCCCATGGTACTTCATCATGAGCAGGTTTACGTTGGATGTGTTCTGGAGACAAAAAAGCGCTACGCAGGCTGGATGTACGAAAATGAAGAAGACGACATAGGTCAATTGGACGCCAAAGGAATCGAAACGATTCGTCGAGATACATGTTTGATCGTCGCAAAGGTCGGTAAATGTTAGCTTTGGAAGATAATAGCCTTCGACAACACAACATGGTCCAACAACACATGGAATGAAAGCTATTGATTTAGAACAGCAAGAATACGTCCTAACGTGATACACATAAAGCAAATATATTAATAATACTGAGATATTTGCAAAATTCCGGACGGCAGGTGTCTGCGATGGGGAACGAACGCACTATTACACTTTCCGGTGGTTAACGCAGTTCACCACCACACCGTATGAACATTGTGGTTTCAACCAAAGCCTCAGCTTAACTGGGTTCAATGCCGATTTGTGCTTCCCAAATAAATTCCATTGACTAGTGATTGTTGATGTGAATGGTAGACAGAAAAATATCTGAGAGACTGGCGAAACGAAGGGCCTGCATGGTGTGGTGGTGAACGCGTTACTCCCTGGAAAGGACAAGAGAGCGTTCGTTCTCCACCGCAAACACCTGCGCTTCGGAGTGTTGCAAATATTTCAGCATTATAGAGAATATGCAGGTGTTAGAGCGAAGTTTGAAGCTGATTTTCACGAGGAATTGGCGAGCACTTGGCGTCTACTTGAACACAAAGCTCTCGCGACTCAATGAGTTGCCCTACACTGATTTCGTCTTTTCCAAGGAGTTTCGTGGTCAGTACGCAGAAAACGCTCATGTGCCGCAATTGAAGGTTGCACTGTAAGTTCATTAGATTTCGTCAGTGCTGTTCAAGCAATAAAATGAGCCAAATCGAACCTAGGTCCCTCGCGGCCAACAATCCGTCTCATATCGCTCTCGTAGGAGAACGACTGCCGTACATCGTGACCGATGGTCCACCAAATGCCACTGTAATTTCGTGTGTTCGGTCTCTTCAGGAATTCCTCGCCGATTCTAGCTTGCAGGTTAGTTCAAATCAGTTTGTCATTTGGCGTTTTTGTCGTAATTCCCCGATGATTCGATCTCTCTTACACTTTCTAAGTATTCTCTATAACATCAGCTCTGGTATTAGTATAACTTTATTTAGAATACTGGTCACTTTTGCTAGTTCTTAAAGCTTTTTAAGTGTAGATAAAAATTAATATGCATGGTTGATGGTGGTTGTTTGGAGAATTATGCTAGAAGAACCACGGATCTTTTTCGCTTGAGATATCACTCAGTGCCCGTTAGTTGTTACGTCCGCAAGTGTAGGGTGGATTATCAAACACTGACCGGCAGTAGCAATAAATCTTTGTGCTACACACGTCATTAAACGAGAAGAACTTCTTGGTTTTGTTCCACTGGTTTTCATTCAAATAAACAGCATATGTGTGCTCTCTGAGAGGTGGTTTGATGAAATTTAACATATATTAACACTACACTGGTGTCGAGAGAACGTGGATAGGCGTACACATGAGTTCATCCACGTTTCACTATGAAAACACCATAGTGTGAGTATCTCGTACAGAACAGTTGATATTAAAATACTCAATTCACTTACGTTCAAGAATTCCAATTTTACAGCGTTGAGAGTTACGAAGGCGGCGAACTACAAATTGAATTCGTCGAATAATTGTATTTGTCTAATACACAGTACTCTCTCATGGAAGCTGTATTTAGTGGAATTCTAGTTCAAGAGGAGCGAAGTGGTTACAGATGCAGTGGAAAACGCGTGTGTTTTGTTTCCACTCTATCTCGGCCAGCCAAGTTCTCCATGCCTCTGAAGTCGGTAAATTACTACCAGATTTGTCTGAAGAGACTTCCTGCGTTATACGAACGGCCGGCATCTCCTATGATAGAGACCTGAGAACGTTACAACTATCTCATGATTCCACGGAAACCAGCATTCAACGACATTCCCCAACAGCATGAAATGGTCAACAAGCTGCCGAACCTGCACGGTAATCCGAAGAACTTTACGGATGACTGAATGAGACAACGAGCAAGATCAAGAAGTGCTACTATCTGCACAATATGTGAAGAGGGTTTGTATAAATAGATAAATCGTCCTATGAGATCATCGTCGGCGTAAGCTAAATTTTGTTGAGCAATATCCAGAGAATCCGGAATCGTTCTTAGGTAAACCATCGTTGTCTACTCGTAGTCAACGATGCTGCTATGAAAACTGTGATTTTGGTAATTAAATGAACTGAAATGTTCGATTTTCACAGTAACTGTTCGACTAAAGGAGCTGCTGGATTTCATGTCGAACGAACAATTGGACTTCCACAGATACTTCCTTTTTTACAAAAATCCTAATCTGAATTCTCTGACTTGATGTACGAACGGTCGCCTCAAGACTCTGAGGCTCCACAAAGACCATGAAAGTGGTAGAAGTCACCTAAATCTCTCGATAATTTTTAAAAGAGTAGTGGCGCAAGTTATCCAGGGGTTTCTTGAAGCAACGTCGTTAAGTTCTTAGATTTTATATCATCTTTTTAGTCACGTTTTTAACTAAGATTGATAATTTTACGAATAGCTTTAGATTCACTTCATTTACTATGTTCATGTACATATTCTTCCGGCACTTAGAAGAGTCACAGATCTTCTGCAGCTTAAAATTCGATGGCATCTTGAAGGAAGATCTTTGTGTTTCACGTTGGTCTTATTGTTAGAGTTCTATCAGATAGTTCAGTCATATGCTTTCGTTTTGACGATGTTTAGACCGGGATGCTCGACACTTGGAAGTGATCCGTGGTGCTCGTCGTGCATCGACGACCAGTCCACATTGCAATTTGCGTTATGTTCACTCGCACGTGAAGATCGGTTGCGAGCGATCTGCCGCTTGGCTTGTGCTCATTGTCAGAAGAATCCTTTATGTCATATGGATCGATGTGTAAATCATCAGTGTGTTATAAAAAAGGTATTTCCTTAATTTCTAACGCTTTTATGGTTATTATTTTTGTGATAAGTCATCCTATTATCATGTCTATTGCTTAGAGAATCTTTAAGCATTCTTTAGAACCTAATTCCATTTTTTGGACCACTTTCTGAAGAATTATGTATAAGATGATTGCGAAATTTTAGGTATGGAATAGTCTTGCCAGGAGTAAAACAGCACGAGCTGTGAGCAAACATAAACTTTACTTACAAGCTTAATCTCCTGATGCTCTAACGTTTCATTAACCTTTTGTTTATTGTCATATCTGCTAATTAAAATTAATTTATTTAGATTCGTTGTGTGACCTTCCAGTGAATAGGTATATATCAAGTTGTTGTCATCGTGTAATGACAATGTTATCATATGGTTTGTTACTTGGTTTGTTTCCCTTAGAAATAACGGCGTAGATGACAATTCCCCAAGTGATGATCGCCAGCACGGCCACCAGAAGCCACAGTGCCCACCACGCACGACGATACGCGCTAAGCTGTAAAACGAGCAGCTCTTAAACGAGAACTGCATCGCTCCATGAATTTTAGGATTCCTTACTTTAATTTGACAGAAGAAAACTAATGAGAACTCGAACAAAAGGACTTTTATGTTTCTGGCGTTTTCTGTGATTCCACCATTTTCTAACGTCGGAGCGCTCACCTGGACTCGTTCCTCGTTTGTGAGACCGACATCCGGATCCGTAATAACATCTCTTTCTGATACGTGGCGACTGATCAGCTCGGCTTCTACATTCCAAAACTTCGGATGTGGCCAGTGCAACTCGCCTTGGATGACCCTGTGAGAAACCTCGTAAGAATCTGTCCATATCTTGCCGTTTTGTGTGACTGAATGTCGCGGATGTAAAAAAAACATACGGAAAATGGAGATTGTTTTTACAATTTTGATGTTCTGGAAAACATTTTCGATACCGAATTTACTGATTAGAAACATAGTTATCAACTGCCAATTGTGGTCAATCTAGATCTGCATTTCTTCAAAATGCTAACATAATCGTTTCGATCTGGAAGTTTTAACCATTTTCAGTACAAAAATGGAAGAAGAGTTGGACTTATGCATTTATTTAGCGTTGTTCTGGTGGACAGATGGTAGTTAGCGTTAATAGAATATGAGTCGTATTTGGTAGACAAATAAATGACACATGCAGTTGATCATTTCCATCGACTTACTTTGGTGGCAAATTGATTGAGACGTGTTCAGTGCCCGTGTTTCTACTGAACGGTGGCCAGTTGAATCTGAAGCCTGAATATCAGTGCCTTACTTTGTTGTCAAAATTTTTCTACATGTAAGCGCATACCTCTTGGTGGATGGATCACCGTTCTTCGCAAAGTTGGTTATCATGTTCGTCAGGATTTTCGCCATATTCTCATCGTCTTTTGTGAAGGGTCGAATTTCGAAATTGCTGCTGTAGCCACGGGTGAAGATGAATGCATGGTCCAAGCCGTGAAACGCCTCCAACTTGCGATCTAGAAAGTGTTCAAGAATGGTTGTACTCAGTATGTCCGTTGCAAATAAACATTAGCATTATATTTTGTTTTAATGCACAGCAGATCTATAGGGATATGAATGCGGTGATTTTCAAAAGGTGGTAAGTGTCAAAACAGTTTAACAGATGAAAGAACTCACGGTAGCAGTACGAGGTCCCAGGACCGACTTGGCGAATCACTATGGCAGTTTTTCATGGCCGGCGAACGCCTATAGCGCTCAGACCATGCATATATTATTTTGTGGTTTCTAGAGATCCATGTAGAATCATGACAGTTTTGTTCATTTATGAACTGGTTCTATTCTAGATGTGACTTCTAAAAAGTTTCTTTCGAATAGGACATTTAGCAATAATAGAGATTCTTTGCAATGCACACGTGATCATCACGTTCATCCTACGTCCATGGCTAATCATGCTGTATACCTTCTGAGTCGGAAAACTGATGCTAAGCTTGTTTGGTAGAATATAAAGCCTGGCCAGTACATCAGTACGTTCGCATTGCTCATTGTGTAAGACAATCGTTCAGTCACTCTTCTACGAGGGTTAAAGGAGTCGAATTTGTGGCGCATCTGTGAGGGAAGATATGCTTCGCTTTATGCTTTATTTATGCTATGCCCAACGCTTTATTCTTTTATGTCTTATGTATTAGAAGTAGTTTCTTGCTTGAAACTAGGTTGAAAGTATTTTTTAGCTTCGAAAGTATGAACTCCAACGAGTAAAAAGATACTCGCAATCCCCAATGAATATCATGATAGCTGTGATTGAAGTTAGGGAGCAGACAGTGGAATGCTGTTGGTTTCGCTCGTTACGCGAACGACCCAAACCACCCATAACCCAGTTCGACTTCACATTGAACCCAAGAAAGGAAACCTTTCATCACTCATGGCTTGGGAAATTGGTGCTAAACAAAATGACTTCCTCTAATCTATGTGGAAATGTCCCAGCACGGCTATCTCATGATTCCAGGAAGCATTTACTCGAAGCTTGCAAGAAAGTTCGAGGACCTTCGTGGGCCGTTAGATGCGACGGAGCGAATCGAATGCAAGAATTGCTGGGATCCGTACAGTGTGGTATATGTGATTTCGTGTCTTCTAATAGTAATAATAAAGAAATAGTTGAAATTACGAAGTTGCAATGTCAACTTTTTATTTAAGAGATCCGTTTTAGTGGCAGTGTACTACTTGCTGGTAATACCGGTGGAGTAGAAAACTAGCTGAAGAGAAAGGCAAAGCAAAGGCTTCCGTTTATGTGGTGGTAGCATATGAACTCCCAGAGAAGGTAACCTCGGGTTCGAAACCTGTATGAGGTTTCTGTTCATATCTCAGCACTTCTGTGGTTTGTTGAAGTTGCTAAATAAGTAATGAGGGATTTGAAGGCGAATGCAGCTGCGTAAGAAATGCGCCCTAAAGTGTGTGTTATGATTGCGCACATATGAAATCTTGAGTGAAGTCCACAGTGATAAGGAAACATAGTATTACAGATTTTTTATAGGGACATTTTGCTCCCTTTCTTATAGATGAAAATATCAGGATGCGTGAGTTAGCGGTTATATTCATGTAGTTGCCAACTTCATCAGCAGCAATGTCTTCGCTAGTATACCTAACACTGGATGAATTGTCTCTGAATAATGTGAAAATGTAGCAAAAGTAGTGGTAACATCTTGATGATTCGATTCAATATCAGCATGCAGTGAAATTATGTGGTCTTCATGAATCTTTCGCCATTGGTCGTAATTATACAATGGCCACAACAGAGTTCATAGCCACTAACAATGTGTTGAATACAGCTGTTTTTTTCATGGAAGTTCAGTGCTTTCATGTAATTATGTCGAAATGAAGGGTTAGCTTCCTACCGAAAGGTTATGTTGTCAGAACGCTTCTAATTGGTAAAGATGACTAGCTTCTAGTAAACAGTAGGTCTCTTTAATTGCTTTGGTCTCGTCAAATGAAGTGTTGATTTCAACACTTTTCACGCATGTAATGATTCTTTCGGTGGTTGAAGTTGCAGATAAAAGTGGATATTTAAGTTTCCCTAAGTTCAAACCGGCTTAACACACACGATAATACCTGTTTTTTTTGGTTTGTGTTGATTCTTCCGCAAATGAGGTACTTGAGGTGTTGGAAATTTGAGGAGTTCATAAGAAAGATCTTGATGCACTGCTACAAACCCCTCTGGTTTCTACTTGGAAGTTGTTCAAAGGTCAATTTTTCAAAAATTGACAATGAGGCTTAAATGTTTAACGTACGTTTGACAGCCACGATCTATTCAGTAATTCGCGAACGTCATTGCGTACTATTGGACGGGCAGTATTTGCTTGATTAATTATTTGTTCTGCTGTTCAAAAATTGGGTCTCGATTCAAAAGAAGAGCAGAAAAACGTCCAGAGTACCAGGATTTCCTCCCAGAGACGTTGAGGAGTCCAATGTTTCGTAGTAAAGATATGTCGATTGAAGATTTTATTTCATTTGATAAGGTTGACTATCAGCTAATTGAGACATATTTACTCAAAATTAAGAGGTCTAGTCATTTTTGACTGCGTTTGAGTGGAAATCAATCCGCTTTATCCAATATTCTCCATTCAACGTGTGAAACGAAGCCATCTCGAGTCCTCGGTGAAGTGCTGATGATGTGACGACGAAGTTTTTGATATACTACAGTGTAGATTCCTCCAAACGGTTTACCGTTTTATCGTGGCTTGGAGGTGTTCCTGGGTGTCGGACTACGAGATTCGTCCACCGGCTGAGTCTCCCAAGCTGAGAAGGAGTCCGGCGTTTCCATCAGGAAGCCTAGCTAAGAGTAAACCAATAGCAGGATCCACCACCGTCCTGGTATCAAAGTCGCATGGTGGTAAATCTGCCTCTGATCCACAAGGGCTGCGACTGCCTGTGGTGGTGTGGTGGTGAAAACCTAGGGCAGACTTTGACCAGGCTGATCTCGGGATTCCAAGGAACCACAATGGCTTAACCAGCAAATCACCGAAAAATGGTGGTTATGCTGAAGCCCGCACAAGTAGTGAGGACTGCCCGTTCAAGTAACAAGTAAGATTCGAATTATGTAAAATTATCCTCGATTAAAATCCACTGGGAATTTCAACCGACATTAAATCATGCGCCTTTAATATTCATGTGCATACTTGCCTTACACTGAGCTCCAACTCACCTTTTAATGGCTGATCCTTCCTGAAAATAGTCACAGGTTCCTTTCCAAATAAGGTAAATGCTTTCCTCTCCTGAATCAATTGATAATAGATGGTAAGGGTGTTTGGTCGTTTCGATGCTTTTGTTACCTCTTCGAAAATTGGGCTCTTTGGGAAGTAGTCAAATGAGTACGCGTATACAGTAACGTTATTTTCCACATAACCATCGATTTCTCGTTGACAAGGGGCAACAAACTCGATGTCAGCCTCCATCTAAAAGCGGAAATCACAGATGGCTAAGTGGTTCGACAGTGCCTGGGGTCGATACAGAAGAATTCGAATGGACCGCTCTCTTCGGTCGAGTTATTTAATGTTCTGGTCAATTCTAGGGGTTTTGTCTATATAGGAAATGCTTAGTATAGATTACTGCGTAGGGAAGATAACTAACCGTTTGAAGAGCCGATACGACTCTACTCGTCTGGAACGTGTTCGATGGGTCGTCAATGTACCTTGAATCCACATGATACGATTGCGTCGAGATCTTTCATTCCTTCTTTTTCACTCGTTTTATAAAAGCGTTTGTAACTGCTAGCACTGCTTTTTCATGGTATAACACTTTCTCTCTCTTTTTTGACTTTGTCGGCTAACTGTTGTCGAACTACCGTCTCTCTTAATGAATGGCTAAAGATTGAAATTGAATATATTATAGTGATAAAATTCAAAAGTTAGACACTTCAAATACTTCTTCCCACTTCAAAATACTAGATGTCCTGTTGTGGATGTGTTTTATATATACCAGCAAAGTCTGAAAAACTTGGTGAGTCCTTAAGTCTAGCATATATTTTCTTCTTGAGCTAGTCTTTGCAAAATCATTCTATGAGGCAACTTTGACCGTATTGATAAGTTGATGAACTTTTCAAGACTCACCTGACGAAGGACGCGTTAGCAACCAAATGCAGTGTAGAATTGCTGAGCTTGACGGGTGACGTGTCGTGAAATGAGCTTTCAATGATCCGGAACACGCTCTCTCCGGACTCTCTTGCTGTTAACGACGACTTCCGATGTAAATTGTAGAATTGAGCTTCAAAAATAATCGTCACTTCTCGCCTGGAGAGACCTTATCGTCTAAAATCCCTCTTGTGTTCACAAAGTCATCTTTCTTTCCATTTATGTAAATTAACGCCTTAGTACTGACATTAAATTGAGAAAAACTACTTTATAAATATTAAAGAGACTAACAGCGTTGCTTCGATTCCCATCTTTTCAATACCATGTAAATTGGAAACTAAGGCCATAGTACTTCTATGAACTTGGCCACAGGCGATATTCATGCCTTCACTGTCTATTCAATGCAACACAGTATTTCAGACTAACATTTTAATCACAATCCTAACCTTTTTATTTACTGCCTACTCCTTTTAATGGCAGGGTATGCTGCGAAATATAACTTCTGTGATGCTGAGATACCGCAGTTGTCTGCGGTGGGGAACGAACGCGCTATTACCCTTTCCGGGGACTAACGCGTTCAACACCACACCATGCCCGTCTGACTAGGTTCATTGCCAATTTGGACTCCCAGATAAATCTCGCTGACGGGTGATTGCTGATGACAGAGATCGATAGAACAAGCTGAGAGACAGACGAAACGAAGGACCCGCGTGGTGTGGTGAGTTACTTCTCGGAAAGGACAATATCGCGTTCGTTCTCCACTGCAGAAACCTGCGGTCTGGAGTTTTGCAATTATCTAAGCATCATAGAATTAACATTTTCATGTGAGAAGCGCATTACGACTCTATGTGGACTCTGTGCGGTTGGTCTCCACGTGAAATACTCTGTGGAAAACTTATAGAAAGGGATGAGTATGCGAAGATGCTATTTTGTTTTTTATATTGTTGAAATCTTGGTTTAGCATCTTCTTTGTTTGCTTATGGAGGTGTTTGGCTGGTAGGTTGCACTGAATTCCACCTTTCCAGGCTCTGAAGAGGGTGAAATCCGCCGAAACGCCAGCTTGTTCATAAATGAAAAATAGACTAACAACCTCCTGTTTGCTCATCAAGAAAACAGTGAATCATTTTGTTCGTTTAATCTACTAATTTTAGCTGGTATCACGACAACTGCAACTGATGTCACGATTTCTCTTTCGATGGCCTAGATCAGCTACCGTAATAACAAAGAAGTTGTCTAATACTCACGCTTTTTGTGTGCCCATTCTTTGCGAGCCACACCTGTCATTATGGGAATACGAGCATGTTTCCGAACCAGTTCAGCGCCTGACTCGGGCACCAGCTCTCCATCAACGACCATTTTGGAGACACCTAGCTGAATTGTAAGCGTTAGATAAGAAGCATCTAGTGCGCCGTCCATGACTTGCCTCCATCGCCAACGACTTTCGAAATATGGCAGAGCTGAAGTTGAGACTTTTTCGAAGGCAACTCATCTGTTCTTCTGGAGTCTGGTCATCCTATAAGCGAAAAATAATGCAGAGTTTCGGAAATAAAGTGTTTTATTAGTAGCTCATATGACACTGAATGTTCAGGGACATTTTCTAGTAGCGCTTTTACGGTGTTCTTCTATCAACGGAAACGTCCACAGCTTCGACCGAAGAGGTACAACCTTTCGTGAGTTTTACTTGCCAAATATAATTATCGTAAAGCACACGTTTTAAAATCCTTCCCATTGGAATCCCTTTGCTCATTACGGGAACTTTAGAACAATTTTTTATGTAAAGAAATATGGACATGTTTTGCCAAAAAATAGCTAAAGCATCAACCCAATAACTTTTTTTTACGACATCATTTCAGCACCATTCAGCCTTAAGAAGGTTTAACCTGCCACTCCGTAATAGAAAGTTTTTCGAGTTTTTCGAGATAGTTTCACTCACCGTCAAACACGGAACTAATTCCGTCTGATAGTTACACTTTTTCCTACTGATTTCCTCAGAAGTGAACTCGTCTCCAATCATTTCTGACAAGTATTCACCACTAATTGACTTCTCACACCTGTAAATATAAGCAATAAATGCGAGAACAATAACAGGACTAAACTTGATTAGTGTGAGGATCGCAAAACCATGTACTGCACATGCAACAGCGACTACTATAGAAATGGATTTGCTCGAGATCGAAAAGTTCACCGGCGTTGAACAACGCAGCTAAGGTTTTAAGTGGAGGGGGACGACTTACCTCAGGTATTTGACTAAATTCTCGACACTCCATGACGGGCTTCCGTGCCGATGGATTGCCCATCCGGCTATCGAGGAACCACTCATTATAATAGCACGTTGTGCAAGTCCTGAATAGAAATTGGATGTAGACGACACTTCGAGTTCTCGTGCTCACTATCAAATAGCTGTCACCTTCAGTTATGGGACTGAGAGCAAGCAGACTGCATGACGCGCCTCCGGCCGATTCACCCATCAGAGTCACTTTGGATGGATCGCCTCCAAACTGCTTAATGTTCGCATGGATCCACTGCAAAGCCATCACCTGGTCCCAAATACCAAAGTTGCCCTCCACTTTTTCGCCAACTTGCATGTTAATGAAGCCTTGAAGGGCAAAAAATGAGAAATTGGAACCAGAAAATCGGTTCGAAACCCAGCATAGACTGTGTCATATCCTAGAATTATACGAGTGCTTTTCGGAAGTGCACAGCTTTTACATGCATATCGTTTTTTTAATGCTCCTGTTCGGCTTCTTCAACACAACGAATCTGTCTACTTTCATCCGCATGCAAAGGCATTCACCTATTGAGTGAAGTTTTTCACGGAACTTCTATAATGAACTGTTTCATTCAAGCTGTTAATCTTAGTTCGTTTGTGATTAAAACGTAGACTGCTTATGAGTAATTTTTATTTTTCATAGTTCTTCAGATGGCTATGCTCGTAGGAATTGTATTCGAATAAAATTTTATGTTTAATTACAGTAAATTCGCTAGACATACCAAGTGGTCCAAGTCGATAGTTGATTGTGACGAACGTTATTCCTTTGAAGATGATATTTCGAGCTACAGCCTGGAAGTAGCTTTTTTAAAAGCCGAATGAAATCTTGCTCTTGCGCTAATCGATGACCTCCATATCGATTCCTGTATCGGCTGATCCAGCCAGAAACGATCCTCCATGAATCCAGACAATGATCGGAAATAGTTTCGACTCGTCTTCATGGTCCTACAACTGAAGCTGTTGGACTGTTCTTCTCTTCTTTTAATTTCTTTTTCAAGTAATTTAGTTCACCAACATAAGGGCTGAATACGTTCAGATAGAGGCAGTCCTCGCTTTGTCGCCTCATATTGTCGGCTGAGAATTTATCGTAGCGATGAAAATCCATAAACTGCATGCACGGAGGGCCGTATTCTACGGCTGAAAGTTCTTGGTTCCATCGAGCTTTCTTCACTGGCTTCTGCAAAGCGTTACCAAGAATTTTTTCGGTAGTAGTTTTGCAAAAATTTGGTGAATGATGCATAACTTTCTTCTCGTGCATAATGAAAAGTTTGTAACTGGGTTATTGCCCTCTTTGTAAATTTCTTGCTTTCCGAAACCTCTAGAGAATTTGTTACGCTCGCTTATTTAGAAATAACTTTTAAACCCCAAAGGCGAAATTCCAGATCCGCGAAGAAAAGCGCCTTTCGCATGTTTTTAGATTTAAGATGCTTCTTTGTTGTTAATTCTCCTGGCAATTGGAACGATTAGAAACGTTCAGGAGAAGTGTTTTGGTGATTTGCTAGCAGATTAAGTCGAACATCGAAGAACGTCATATCTACTTCACAGTAAAGAGAGCTTCCGGTGTGTAACAATGTAAAAGAGAACCAGTGACACAAGGACGGTACGAAAGGTACCAACCAAGCGTATTTTCGGCGACTTAAGGTGATCTCCTTAGTGGTTGCGTTGTCATGGCCAAAGTGTGTTCCTAGTTTCCGGGTTGCAATCTAAAGCTAGCCATTATCTCCGAAAAATTCTCCTAAGTTGAAATGTTCGTTATCTCTATTCGAAACCTCGGGCAGAACTAAACTTATGCCATAGCAGAGCCTTTCGAGCTGCTAATTGCTAAATTGTGATTTAAGGAAGTAGGAGAGTGCGACATTATATCAAAATTATGACGCTGCTTGCGAAATATGGATGTATGGAGCCCACTGAACGACTCCTGCTTCATAGGAAAGAATGAAGTCTAATGAATAGAGCCTGTACTTTTTCATCTGAATATAGAAATATGCTTTCCCTAGAAATGAATACTTTATTCAGCAATGCTCTAAGTAAGAGAGAATGTTTTAGAGGTCTACCGGTAGCGCATGGTGGAGATGTAGTTCGCGCTAGGCACTAGTTCAACATCGTCACTAAACCTCGTATACCTCTGGCATTGTGCAATTAGTATTAAATTTGTGTAGGAAGCCTCTTCCTTTGGACAACGACTGAGACTAGCTGTGGTGAATAGATGAGAACGCTCTATCACGGCTCTCCTGGAATTCCAGGGCGAATACACTCGACTGTTACTCAACCTTATAATTAAAGAAAACTATGACTATCTTAACCTTTTTATTTACTGCCTAAATATCTCAGCATTATAGAAAACTATGATAGTCAAGCAGAAGACCTACCCACATGCAAATCTCGAAAAACGTCGTTAATTACAAATGCAGAACAACGAAACAAATGACAGGAGTGCTGGAATTCTCATAATATGTGCACTAAAGGCAAACAAAAAATGGTGCAGTTCCCGAGAAGAAGAATTGAGACCTCTTTATTTTCTTGTTCACCTTCTCAACACACACCCATCCATCCCGGCACGTTCAGCGTATAGGACTGTCAGAAAAACAAAACGTGAAGCCAGTCATGCTTCCTGACGGACTGCACAATGCTGAACTATTGTTAAGATTTAAGTATTATTGAGACTAAATGCATCAACAATATACGCTTTTTCATTTACTCAGTAGATAGAAGAATATCGAGCTGCTAGTAATAGTTATCAAAATGTTGAGAGATGGTGTCATTGTGAAGATTAGGAAACATTGGAAAAGTTCGTTTTAGAGGACGACCCTGGCTACCACAGGGTAAATCAAAGAAAACTAAATGGTGCAGTGCGTAGGAATCATGTGTCAAAATACAAAGGTCTGGATTTTTTAGAGCAGAATGTAAAAAAAAGTTCTGCAAAGAAACGAAAGAATTTGCGCCATTCCTTAGTTGGTTGATGCACTATTCTGAGCTCTCCATGAAAATGTCATCATTCTTGAAGGCAAATTCTTTGAGTCTGGCTGGACCACCACGTGATGTGCAATGACGAGTTCCATGACGAGTCGTCTGTTTAGTACTGCCTGCTTCTAAGAAATGCTGAGAATCTTTCTTCGGTCTTGAGCCCTCACAGCTCTGAAGAAGATGATACAGCCGAAAGCTTAGCCACAATAAAGATTCCAATGGTATCGCATAAGCCTTTAAATAAACCAACGTTTTAATTGTCCATGTCAAGGTTAAATGAGATTCGATACTGGATGTAGTGTTGAGAAGACCGAAATGTACAAAGCTTCCTGTGTAGAAATTCCCAAAGAAAATTGCCCATACATGCAATCATTGCAATCCTTGTGCAAGAATGTGGTCAGATTTAAAATCAAATAGGGTTTTCATAGCAATTCAGCTTTTGCAAACCAACTTTATAAAGTCCAGGGATGAGATGAAGTCAAAAAATAATGATGTAATAAGACTTCGTGAAGTAACAACACTTAAACGTTTAGAAAATGAGGTATATCAATGTAAGCACATTAAACAAAAAAAGACTCAAAGCTGCCATCAAATGAAGCGCATGCATGAGACAGGACGAACTGGAAAAGCTAGCGGAAAGATGTCAATATCTTACAGCTTTAGTACAGACGAGCTTTGTTATTGACTTGGAGCGCGGAGAGCAATGAAAGCGATAATGGAGACCTGAGCGACATCAGATGAACTATTGACTCATTTTGAACTCACCGCGAATCTAAGGCTCCCAACAGGAGGTTCCGCGAACGGAATGCCACGAAATATCTGAATGTGCCGGCCGTCAATGTTGTAGATTTTGCCGCGAACGAGACCCTGTTCTACCCAAACTGATCGCGATTTTTCCAGTATCTGAGCTGTCGGGCTGTAGTAAAGTAGCGATAGGGTCAGGAATGCGGCTATCATGGCAAGATCACGTCACCCTAAAGGGGTCTCAGTAATCATGTGACTGAGTGTCTTGAGGTAGAATGTAACAACTGACGGCAGCCAACTACACCCGATGGCTATGCCGTTGTTGTAATAATGAGTCAGTGAAATCAAGTAACGGCCACTTGGACATTGCAGCAGTTCGTATTATTATCTACTCAGTAAGTGCTTATAATCGTATCCCAACCTAATATTTCGCATTTTTGTATGATGAGATGCTTAGAGCATTTCTGGAGTATGCCAATGAGCCAGGCTATCCTCGATGGCTGATTGTCCTAATGGATAACTTCCGCGGGGCTTTTTCGGTGTTGAGCAGAGGTTCCTACATGTGGAAATTGATCACGAATTTCCAAGAGTGTATAGTTTGAAGGTTGTTTTTTGCCGAATCAACATTCGGAACACAATCCACATTCAAGGAAAGATACCTAAACATTTATAAATGAATACGAACACATGTATTGCAAAATAGAAGCAAAATCGCAGTAGGTTTTCAAGCAGACGGTTTCAAGACGAAAGTTGCAAAAACAGAAGAAGCCTATCTATTCAAACACCCATCAGTTCTGGACAGGTACACTGCCGTTGATGATCCGCGTTTAAACCCTATACTCCACCTGAAGTTGCGTCATAAATCCTTATCACTAGTCGACTCCGAAGCCGTGGGAGGAGCGAGGCCGATGTTGGTGGCATCCATTGTTGATGGAAGTAAATGCTCGAAGATTACACAGAATTAGCAAAGCAAATTGTTGGTATTGAGATGAGGCGTTTGCATCAATGTTCTTAATCGCTTTTATGAAGGAATGTTTCACCAGTTGTTTTTCTGGTAAGGCCCTAGCTATAGTAACTATTCCTTAAACAGTTCCTATTTCTATGTTACCTTATGTCTTCTACAATAACTGTTTTGTAATCGTTATACATCTATCTTTGCTTCGTCTCTAAATTGTCTCTTAACGACCATTTCACGCAGTTGCCTCGCAGGTGATTGGAAAGAGAATCAGCAGCAGCCAGCTGAATGTACTTTCCAGCATCTGCCGTCCCAAAGAAGTTTCCGAATGAGCAGCTGCGCTTTTTCACATGTAGCCCTATCAGATTGTTCCCGTAGAAAAAACCTTTAAAACCTCTCTCTAGGCGCTGTCTTTAGTTTCCTCTGGTAAAGCTCCACTTACTACAGAAGTAATACAGGCAGCCCATCGGCATTCGTCTTCAAGTGTTCGTAGCGTTCGTCCAGTGTTCATCCAGTCCCTCAGTTCCTCAGTGCTCCAACACCAGTGTCCACCTAACCTCTTTCGATTGTATCACTTGTTCTCATTTCAACTTCGCTCGTATATATCCATCTAACCACATATCGTCACATATCACATATTATTGCTGTACCGTTGTATTGCTATAAACTGTTATAACCTAAACACGAGGTTGTCCACGGCAGTTACGGAAAAAAGTCCCGCGTGGCGAATTCATACAAAGTCGAGCATTCCACGTACAGTTGGTGGACAAAAGGCAAATCCGACCAACTCCCTAATCCATTGGCCAACTAGCACATTGGCTATCATGAACACAACTTACTCACCTATTCGCCTTCTATTATTACAGACTTAAATGTCGTTAAAAATTGCTCAAGTCATGAAAAGAATCGTAAACTCGTTTTTCTGGTACTTCACTGTTATATATCTATAACACAGGTTAAATATGACTGAGCAAAAGTATAACTTCACGCTTTTTCTGTCAACTTTTTTTTCAATTCCTTAAGGGTCATTTTGATTCAGAAGTTTTACTCCCTATCTTTTCTCGTTTTATTTCTTATGTGTTAAACTACTATCCACGAATTAAGATTGAACTTTTAGGTTGTTTTACTGTTGGATCCGTCTTGATGTCAACAGGTTTTGCTCACAGCGTGTCACCAAGCCAGGTATCTTTTCGTTGTCATCCGATCAACCGATATGCTCGACAACGACTTTCAATCCAACTAATTAATATGCTTCGGCTCCTTCCTCTTTTTCTCCTTGCACCGCATAAATTAAATGCGCCGCAATTTCTCCCACATTTTGAAACTTTTGCAGTCATACAGAAAAATCTTGTTTTTAAGAACAATCTAGGAAAAGTGGTATCAAGAGATAGAAATCAGATCGAAAGAGTTCGTGTGGGGAGCTTTGTCCTAAATGTGACAGAGCGCTAAAATAGATGAAACGTTGCTGGGTGACCTTCGGCTAATAGAAGACCGAAGCCGTCGGCTCTACTCTCCATGATGTTAGGGAACTCTACAATAAATCCCAATTCGAAAGGCATAAATACCTTCCTATAAACGAAAGTTCTAAATAAATTTTTAAGAGGTACTTATTACGACGATTTGTAACGTACGTTTAGGTCCATGGATGTTCTACGGACTCGACGGAATGAAGTTAGCTCCCATACCTTTCATTCGTTGCTTTGAAAATACGATTGCCCTGTCCACCACTGATTAATATTAACCTGGTATCCTACCCAACCCAATTTACTATGGAGAATTTGCAAACTTCTGAAATTTTGACAAGTTAGCTCAAGGTGTCGACCTCACAAGCAATAATGGGTAACTAATAAAGCGAGGTAAATTCATGGCACTGGTCACCTTGGAAAGCCTACAATAAGGTGAAAGCAATGCTAGAAAGTTTTCCGGATGTTTTCAGCTAACCGCCTATTGGAGAATTTTTCTCTTCCGCTTTTCATGCGGTGTGCCAAGGCCTTGAGCGGTGTTGCTAGGTTATGAGAAGTTCGCAGCAATTTCGCCATTGTTACTCTACTGCAACTAACTGCTCACTTCACAACGAACTCTGTTTAATTCTCATGACGCTTTCCAGTTCCCAAAAATGAAAATCTTAGACCAAGTTTCGCATGTCCGCTCAGTTTTAGCCTAGACATCTGTGAAATAATGTTAGAGACTGCTTCTATGTTGCTTTATTATGATTAGGCAAAGGATGTTGTGCATCAAGGCACCATTGCCATTCCGTTTTATTCTTTTTTTACTTTCTTTTGTTCTATCTTACTTATCTATCCCTTCCACCACTTTCCCCACTTCTAGTTTGCTTGCTTGCTTATCTACCAGAGGCTGCTTTTCATTTCCGCAGTATGATGATCGTCTGCCTGTCAGCAGCACTTCTCAACGCTTCGGAAGCGATGGTTTTGCGAGGTTAGTGACATCAAGTAATCCGATTCCAGCGTCGGCGCTCCAGAGTATTGAAAAATAATAGAATGAAATTTTGGCAAAGAAAGAAATGGTCTGCTTCATTTACGTGCACTGTTGCCCATCCCATCAACGATAGAAATCAATCAAATCAATGTCACCGGCTTTGCAAGACCTCTAGCGTTAATCACCTCCTCGTGAAAATACAGTGTTCTCGGCTTTCGAGCTTGGACCTGTAGCATCGAATTCATTCGGAAGTGTATCAGCCGTTTCAGTAGAAGATGCTTGTTCAAAACGAATATCTCTTTTTCATGTCGTCTGTCACTCTGTACCCTCTTCTTGTTTCTGTTCGAGAGTAGAAGAAGCGAGGGGTTGGAATTTCATTGAGCAATGATTGGAACTATAGTGGATCAAAGTGATGAGTGGTCCCTATTTGTTCTTAAAGGAGGGCAGTATTGTGACAAGGTGTTTGCTGATCTGCTGTAGGCAATTTGTTGGGACTGTTGATAATATGTGTGGAAACACTGGGTTTTCTCTTCGAAGGGACAATGGTGTTTATAAATAGTACAGTAATCTATGAAGCCTAGCACATAATGTCGGACATGGGTGCAGTGCATTCGTGGGGTATAAAGTGGACAACATGCATTAAACCTGATGTATTTCCTATTAAATGGCTTCCACTGTTATGCAGTGCTTTTTTCGCTGCAATTTTACATCGAAGGTTAAGAATGGTGCATCAAAAACTGTCCTCTGCTTATAATAGTTTCGAAAGAAGTTCTTCTGGGTGAGTTCATTGTGCAGCGAAAGCCTATCGCTGCCGAAGAGAATGCGCACGACCGGGACTGCCACCGGTTAAGCGGATAATTTTTCTTCACTTAAAACTCGATACGAGAGGAGTTCTTCCACTGGATTCCACTCGATGCGACGACGATCACGCACACCGCGAGGACGACCACCTGAGGACAAATAAACTCTAAAAGACGAAGACGTCGAAACGTTAACGCAATAAATCTTTTTTAACAACACCGTTTTAGCTTAGTAATCAAAAAAGATAACGATTGTTCTTGCAGAGGTCTAACGAAGGCCGAGTTTAAGATATTATCTGGGAAAAACTCAACTTCTGCGACCTAAGTGGGGACGCTCTTGCTCAGCTATTCCGGCACTCCAGGAAGAATCGAATCAATGAGCATCCAATAAAATTCATGGAGTAGGCGACAATCCTTAAACAGCGTCTGAGCGTCCACGCTAAAAGCTGGAAAAGCTTTATAGACGATAAATACGAGGAAAACGAACAGAATGAGGGAAGTTCTGGGATCCGCATAGTGGATACGATATGAGGATGGGTGGTTTAGAATAAAGAGTAATATTAATAACAACATTTCCTACAACAGTTTCGTCTAGTGCTATCCTGTTTGCAATTTTTGTAGTGCAGTAGTGTAATGGGAATGTCTTGATATTGTCCTGACCCATCTCGTCGAGGGAGACTCCATATTCTTGACTGGCTGGAAGCACACTTGACGGGAGAGTCTTTCACATGCATAGAGGATTCTGCATCGTAGTGGGCAACTGCCCTCCAGATTTTTTATCATCGCATTCGAAGAGGAACTAATTAGTGTGTAATCTCCCATCCACTGAGATGTTTCGCCACTATAAAATTTAATTCATGTCCGGTAAAACCGCCCAAAAAAATGTCTTCTAGATAGTCAACCAAATTGGATGACAATATCTATATCCCTAGAGTGGTAGAACAAAATTTCTTCTTCACGTCTGGTTTCCAGTCCTTAACTACCGAAGAATTATCCTCATTGTCGAAAATTCACCACTGTTCATTGTGTGCTGCTCCAATTGTGGGTAAGTTGTCTAAATATGCAGCTGATATTAAATTAGAGGTTGCACGACGCAAAAAATTGAACGTCAAGTGTTGCCTGTTAATGTCTCTAACCGAAACCATGTCAAGCTTATGCTGGAATTTTTCTGGTATCACCGAGGCTAGGGCTAGTGATGCCCTGCAATGCATACTGAATTAGTCACTGGTTCTATCCTGCGTTTCGAACTCACCATAACTTCCACCTATCTGGATTGAGCAGGCTGATACCAGACTCATCTGGCAGGATAGCAGCACTGAGTTGGTACATCGGTAGGTCATTACAAGTCATTGTACGGGTCAGATATGTGCCCAATCACTTCTACGAAGCGTGATAAAATTGAATGCATAGCCTATCCTTCAAAGAATGATGAACACCGAACGCTTCCACGTTTTATGCTTTACAGGTAACCTAAGTTAATGAAAAAATAACCTCCTGTGTGAGCCACAAAAACCCTGAGCTTAATGAGGTGGGAAACAGGTTTCGCTACTGATTCATCATGTTCAGTCAGCGATAGAAACAAAAAATCTAAGCATGGCGGCTTTACCTATGTGCTGTTGAACTGAAAACGTATAATCTTTCGAATGCGTAAGTTTTCGCTCACCAAGTTTGGAAAAGGCGTTTGTTAGAATTTTTAATAACATTTGCTGTGAACACATCATGCTCCTCTAAACTGGAATTGTGGGAACATCCATCAGTAGAAATTAAGTTTTTTGGACTCAAAAAAGAGAGCAGTTACTTCTTTTGATGAAATAGTTTCTAGAAACTCGAGTGAACAGTTGCACTCATGACTAGGAGCTGAGGTGTAGTGGAAACGATATGAATACGAGCCGCTTAAAACGATCTCAAAGTGTTTGCGTATAGTACAAATGCTACCTTCTCTTAGAGTGGTTCTTTTAGGTCACGGTTACAGAACGAAGCTTTGCGATATAAATGCAAGCGATCTGCCCTGTGAAAGACGTTTGCTAATCAATAGGACGAACAATCCATGTCTCGGTTACCGATGTACCTTACAAGAAATCGGCATACACTTTGGCTGTTTTGCATAGCGTCCACAATTCAGGGAAATCTCTATGTGAGGTGGAGGGCACAGTGAAATGCGCCACGACGCCAAATTGCATACTTCCACATTGGATTTTGGATGGGAAGGATGACTGTGAAGACGGCAGTGATGAAGGTGGTACATACAAGCTGGTGTGCTCACATTGACTTAGTCAGTTGCAGAACCTTGTCGTTTGTTGGACTGTGCTCCGCCAACTTCAGTGGATCATGAGATAGTGGATCATGAGACAACGACCGTAGCGAAGCCGCCCGGTAACAAGTTTCCGAAAAATAAACCATTAACTAAAAAGGAATTTAGATTTATTTGTTTTTATTTTATTCACGTATTTCAGAGATTCCAACGATCTGTGACTTTTATGAGTTCCGCTGTCTGAGTGGGGAATGCGTTGAAGGACGGTTGGTGCTTGATGGGCAACCGCACTGCTTTGACAAAAGCGACGAAGGTAATATCGATCTTCACGTAACCAGCTGCATCAAAGTTTAGATGGTTTTGTTTCACGCATCGTGCATTCTGTAGGACCTTCGTATGTTCATCGTTCATAAGGAAGTGGTCAGTAGCGTAAAAGGAATGTGAGTGATAATCTCAAAAATGATCTCGAAAATCTAACTCGTTAACCCTCTATTTTCATGACAAGCACACACGAGTTTGTTATCGCGCTATTTGCTCACAACAGCTAGCCTTTTGCGGATTTCGCTCTCTTCATAGCCTAGAAAGGTCAAGTGAACTGAAACCCCTCATCCACATCCCTCTATAACCCTATTCAAAAACGATCATGCCTAAATTTCAATCGTATTGAAGCCAGAACAGCTTCTTTGCACACTCACCGTTCTCCATGAGTACTCCGCGTCTTCCACACCTTCCACTGAGTATTCCACGTCAAGACCACTCATACAGAATTCACATGGAAGCGTAACGTTCCTCCCACATTAAAATATCACTCTTAAATGCTGTACGAGATTAAGCGTGATTATGAAGGATTCCTCTCTGTGATTCATTGTTGAAGGGTTGGAGTCTACACAGAATGGCATCAGACCTTTGCGCGCTGTTTTCGTTTCCTGTACGAGGATAGTAACTTCTACTTCGAAATCCTCTCCGCTATGTGTCCGTGTCCTATGCATGCCTAGTGGAGCGTTTTGTTTAGCTCTATGCTTACCTTCTTAGTGTTCTTTTATATAGATGCACAATGGTCTACTCGTTTCACCAATGCATCCTCTTCCGTACGCTTTGCAAAAGATTAGCTAAACCGTCTCCCAACCCATACAATCACCGTTCGTTAGGGCAATTTGTCGAATTTTGCTTTGTGCCCGGATACAAGCGATACCTCGCGCCTCAAAGTGTCCGGTAATCATTCAATCACTAATATCGATTTCTGCAGATCAACCCTTTTCAAGCAATATTTACACTTCTACACCTGCACTTATTTCGCTGGAAATGGAGGACAGGGTAAACGAGACCTTATTGTCGCTAGAGTTATCGTTTGGAGGTGTGGTTTTCCCTACACTTACCACAAAGAGCTATGGCTTCGTAGCCATTGGAAATGGCATTCTGCCTTGCCAATTTCATGAATTCTTATTTCTGCTCTCTTTCTGTGCATACACTGGCGGCTCTTCGAAACATGTTTCTCACAATCGCCCTTTTTGCATGCGCAGGGTGAGAGGACAGGTAATGAACCAGTATATTCTTGTTACTAGGCTTTCGGTGCCACTTGATGGTATAACCATTTTTGGATAGGACAATTTGAACGGTCGGAAATGGAAGGCAGTTTTTTTTTCAGTTTCTCTCCGGTTAACTTAATATTCTTTAGCTCTTTATTCAAACAACTCAACTCAATGAATTTGTCTAATTCCTCTTGTGTTGAGCAAATGATAAAAGAATCATCTATATATCTACAGTATAGTAATGGCCGGAGATCGCTTACTGGTGCTTCCACATTAGATATAAACGCTATGGCAAGGCTTGGCGCCAGTCGCTGTCCCATTGCCAACCCTTTAAATTGCGAATACCATTTCTAAGATCATCTGAATATTGAGCAGTTTAGGGACAGTGTCATCAACTGTTGTCTCGCGAAACCATTCATGTTTCTTGCTCCATCGTGTTCTATAAGGAGTTTGAGAATGGCTTACATAGCGGAGTCATTCTACACGCTTGTATAAATGGTAAATTAAATTAATAAATTTGAATAAAGGGCGGTAACGTCGAAGGACTCTATCATGTATGTGTTGATAGGACGCGCGTTACGAAGACAATCCAGTAACGTCTGGGTGTTCGTAAGGTGGGCTGGAATGTGCCTTAACAACGGGGCAAGTATGAGGGCTATTTGCCATGTTATTCTATCCGTTGGTCATCTATACAGCTGATGACAGGTCTAACCTTACGTTGAGGGGTTACTACATGCTAGATCAACAATATATATTAACACATAACTTATAAGTTTTGATAAGTACAAGTCGAGATATGCTGAGTTCCAGTTTGAGTTAAGCAATAAGTGGCGGTTTTAAAACGGCCGCTTCTGCCATTTTGACTAATTCATTAGTTGATTATCGGTATTTTCCTTCGAATACATTTTGAGAAAACGGGCAATAATGGGAAGCACCTTCAAGATACTTTTCAATACGTCGACATTTAGCTGACGAGTAATTACTACAAGGTCTCCACCCTTATCACTAGCAGATGATCTAATGTCTTCAGGCTTATCATCTCTCAAACCTCACGTATATCACGTTTTTGTGTTTCTGTGAGGTTGGACCCTAACTTCTTTGCGGCGTAATGATTAGGATTTTTGAAAGATCTGACGCAAGTATCTGAAATTTGCTATCAAGTACATTGTTGGGCTCTCGTTGTCTAGAGAACGCTTGAGGCAGCGGAAAAACGGTTGTGGTAATTCCTCTCCTCCTCGTAGTTCAGTCCTACTAGCAAGCGCGCCTGATCTGGACGAACCATGCATCCTAACACGGAAACCGTTGACTTCTCTGGCACATTACTTTACTGCGACTCGTTCAATCTTCGTTAGCCGCGTTTCTGTATCTTCTTGCAGCCGTGTTATGCTATTTTTTCGAACTTTTTCTGTAAAGTCGTTTCAACATTTTAGCGCTGTAAAGTGCTTATTTTGGAGAACTTTTTTCGAAGTGGCTTTGTTTTACCATCCACATAAACAGTAGTTTTCGGAGGTACAGCAGGTACAAAGAGGTGGTATTCTAGAAACCTTGAATTCCTGTCTGCTGCTGAAGCATTGGAAAGTTTTTCATAACTGTCTTTTTTGATCATGTGCGCAGTTTCCGACTATGGAAAAGGGTACTAAGAGAAGAGAGATGTCTTATCAGAAGGTCTATGTTCAATGCTACAAATCCTAACTTGATTCAGTGTTTTTATGTTAATTCGAACGTCTAACCCACTAGCGCTTGTCAGCGTATTCCTACTCAGTCCCTTGTTCGTCCTTTATGTTCGACTTCTTTTCACTTATAGTTTTCTTATTGATTCCGAATCCGATCTTTTGTTTACTTAGTGAGCGCTGTCTGTAATGTGTTAGTGTTTTTCAATTGACAACATTATTGGCAAAACGAACATCTGAACCGTTGCTTATTAACACAAATGTCTTTCCTTATGCAAAGAATGAACCATTCGTTTATTGCTGCTCAGTTATAAATCTCATCGACCTTTCCATAATTCCGGAGTCAGCAAATTAGAGCTAGACTTGTCCAGGAGGATAAAAACACTGACCTAATAGATTTCTCGCCCAACGTCTTTCATTGCACAGCACATTAGGGACTGAATAATGCCATACGCCTTATCCTTCATAATCTATCCGTCCCGACTAATAACTGCTGCGACTGCTGCGCCGTCGCAGCCTCGTCGTGGTATCCATTTGCTGGCTCCGACCGCCGAAGTTGATGTGATTATATGTAGTGGCGATTTGGGGACGAGAATAAAAATAATGCCTAGTCATTAAGATTCAGTTAAATGGGAATCGTTCTTTTGTCCATACAGTTATTAGTATGAAAAGATCAGTTAAGTAGGCAAGCAGATCATTTTCAATCAGCTTTAGCGCCACTATATACTACACCTTCAAACGGTTTTTGTTCCTGTTCTTAGGAACTTGTGTTTATACGGAGGAGTGAGGTTGCATGCGTTACTTTGCAACATTCCACAGAAAACCTCTAGTCGTGGACTTCTGCTCTCCATTTGGGGTCGTTTACGTACAGTTAGTAACAATTCCTATAATCTTAAAAATATAAGCATTTGGACCAACTTTAAAAGACGTAAGTTGACAACGAAACAGTTATTCATAGAGTTCAATAAAATTTTCACAGTGTGAAGCCCTAAGCAATTTCAAAAGTTTTTCTATTTCCCATGCGTTGTCGTTCTTCGAAGAAAAGTAGGGTGATCCGGAGAGAACGTTGTGCTTGTCCTTTACGTTAAAAGCTCTAAAACTCTCGACGTTGACCAATCCCTGAGGGATGCACCATGCATTCAACTTCATTGAGCATCGTTTGGAGGTGGTTGAATGGATATTTGGTCTTCAGAATGACTCGCGGTGGCCTACCAATGTATCGAGCCAGTGCTGCTATCCTCCCAGACAAGTATGGTACCAATTAGCCGACCGACCCCAGAGGGATGGAGGACTTGGTGCGCGATGGATGCGGGAATCGATTCCACGTGTGTGTCGCAGTGGCCCCTCCAACCACTGCGCCACACGCGCCCTTCTCCTTTACGTTACTCGTCAGCAAATGACGATTCACCTTTCCTCGTCTCATCCTTATTTGATTGAGCAACACTGACACCACTTGTCCTCTAGACGTTATGGAAAAATTCTTGTCAATCTAGTTTCCATTTATAGTAATCACCATGTTTTCAAAGTGATGAACCATATAAACAGTGATGCTTTTTTTCAGAATACTGCCAGCTCTACGGCAACTACTGTACAGCAGCATCACCATGCAGCTTCCACATTGATATTATGGCATTCGGTTGTGGATGCCCAAAGCCACTCATCCGAGACGAACGGGGAATCTGCAAAATTTCTTGAATGTGTAGAAAATGAGCACACTGTTTAAGTGCCCACTTCAAATCAGATTAGCGACGAGCATTCAAATATATTGGTGTACCTCGATTCCTAAACAACTTGTAGTCATTTGTATTGGTATTGGTAAAGACCGTGCTTCCCACCATCGTTATACTTCCGAGGGTACTGAAGAATTCAAACTTAAGTTTGCAATTGTCATAACTCTTGTACATGTTTGCATAAAATTTCATATAAATGCTAATACGTGTAGCTCCATGATTAGAGGTTTCCTTCAATGCACACTCCGTCGTTGGTTCAATCCTGCCGCAGAGGCGAATCAAGCTCTCCACCCTTCCGTGGTTTCCAAATTTGTATTATCATGGCCATTGATAGAATAAAATTATATTCGTACTGCTGATAGAATAAAAACAATATTTTAACACTTGTATAGGATAAACCGGTCTTATACATCGGTAGTTCCACAAAGGTCATTGTAATGGGCAAATATTTATTCAATCATCTTTACGATGCTTGATGGAATCGTTGGAAGGTTCATCCTTGTTTTATCCTCTTGCCTTTTTACTTAATCATGTCAAGTTGTAAAAACCTTCCACAGCATCTTTGAGTATTATGAATTATTATTCATTTCATTTGAATTCAGGATCACCAGATGTGTTAACGAGAAGATACTCGAAAAATCTTAGTTAACTGAAAAAGGAGTAAAACTGAGAATATCTGTGGATGTGAACTACAGGTAGGATAAGGAAGAATGCGAAATTTAGTCCATTCAGCTGCCGATCAACTTCAAGGTTTCTGTGAGACACGGAGGCGATGCTTTATGAGAATTCGCCAACAGTCGAACACTTTTTCCATCGATTAGAACCAAATCATTTTCTTCCTTCTTCACTTTTTTCCCTATAGGAATTTTTATGAGTAATTTGTGATTGCACATTGCCTAATGCATCCACCACAAAGCTTGTTTTTCGATAACCGCGGATGATTTCTCGATCAACAGTGCGGTTGAGGGGTTGAAGATCTCACAAACTCGTAGAAGAACCTTTGCCTTGTCGTTATTACATACTCATATAATTCTTGCCGAGCACTATTTCAATGGTAAGTTTGTTTCGAGGTAAAATCTTCGAAGAGTTTATAAACGAAAACAGCCGCAAGCGCCAACAATGCTGACGAGGATATCACCGCTGAAACATTGTTCGTCATCATGACGGATTTTTTAAATTTGTCTTGTTGTCAATAATATGCAGATTTTGAAGGCTTCTATTTCAGTTTTGTCCAATAAAGTTGAATGCATGCTATTTTCGACTACGCATGAGCCATGCATGAGTCACATCGTCGCAAATGTGGTGGGCGTTATGGCGTCCTTCGTCATATTTCCTGAGAACACGGGTGAATCGCAAATCGAATACGGCTTATCTTGTATTTTGTTTTACAGAAAGCATGTCCCTTTTTATAGAAATCCTATGCCTTGATATCATATTCCCTCAACCAACCACTTGCACTTTAAAGTGTGTAATGCTGAAAAAATTTATGTTGATAGTGATCGTTTTTGCCTCACATTCACCATCCATGAAGATCGTCGAATCCTTTTGGGTATGACATCGGCTGCTGCTTGACGATTTTTCGTCTTCGTCGCGAACGTCATTGCGTAGTCGTCGAGTCCATTCTTCCTGGAAACTTAAGATAACCGTGCTGTGGCTTTCTCGCATGGATTGAGGGAAGATGGCTCATCCCAGCTAATTCTATTACCAATTTTCCGATCCAAGAGGTATGGAAGGCTTAGCGTGCCTGAAGCGGGGTCGGTCCTGCGCTGGATGGGTTGGGCCATCCGCTTAACGAACAGGATCAATACCATTACTCCATTTGATCTCTGATATTGGTGCTGACCGAAAGATTTCTATCAAGAGGTTTCGCCTGATGTCTTCAAAGACGAAGGCGTTTCTTTTCTATATTTGGTTGCCTCCACCTAGTTTTCCGTTTCCATCAATCTAGAAACTTCTCCTGTGACTTCATACAAAACAGCCAACCAATAAATAAATCGTCCTTTACCACTCTTCTGGGTTTGCTTTGCTGAAAAATCCATGTGCTACCACAGGTTTTGAAATGTTCTAGACATGGTCGCTCAACTGTAGTTGTTCATCCAAGGAACTAGCAGTCTTTTTTTCCGCCAGGAAAGAAGCTTTATAAAACGGGGCAGAAAGTTTCCCTAGATAGTTAACTCCTGAGCTGCACATTTAGCCACTATCTTCGTGATTCTAAGGAGAAATCGCTTTCATCTAAACGCTAGCAAATAACATATACTCGAGTATCGTGAAGTGTCAGGAAAAATAAATTCAAGTATTTTAATGCTAACTTTTTACAACCGAGGTCCATGCTTTGCCTTTCTGTGGAGTTTTTCTTTTTTCAACATAAACTCTTCCTATTATGCAAACCGTTTCCTAACACGACTCAGATGACACAAAAAAAACTGACTATTCGTGCTAAGGTTAGAAGAAAGTCGATTTTTAAAAATACTGCTAGATCAGACCTTTCATAGGATTCTCTTTCCAATCACAAATGGATCTGGTTAGGATCTACAACAACTACGGTCTTTCCAGAAACCTTTACGTGGACATCACGAGCCGGCTGGCGGTCGACGCGGCCTGAACCCGCTCCGCCTTATCGATTAGTCATCGGCGACGACGAGTGCTCGACTGGTGCGACGATTGTCCTGTGATGTGGAGATAATGCGATATCCATGAGGTGTTATGGATTCGGATCGATGACAGCATGAACGTCTCCAGCTGTAGATAAGTCAAATATTTGTCGTTTGATGATTGTAAACATCGCCGCCATCCGCGTATGAAGTGCCGATGATATTTTTTGCATGACGCATCCTCAGCATGGCCCTTATCGGGCGTTAGCGCCATGCTTCACATGCCAACTTCTTCCCTGTTGTCATAGGAATCGTTTCAATTGCAGTGAACTATCACGAGCTTGAAACAACATTCCAGAATGCTAAACTCCTCACATTTATCCCGTTATCTTTTACATGATCCGTCTTCATATCTTCTGTGCCGATCCCAACCATTCGTTTCTTTTTTCGTATCCCAACATCCACGAAAATCTGCGAACACTTCGTATTTGGCTTCGGCTGCTGCATGAGGATTTCGCCTTCATTACGAATGCCGTAGAATGTTGACAAAATCGATTCTCCCTTCAATCTTGGAAATAACCGAGCTAAGGCGTTCTGGTGTGGATTTGAGGTAGTAGATGGGTCCAGACAAGTCTGGTACAAATCTACCGACCCAGTAGTGATAAGAGGCTGGGTGGCTGGGAGCGGGGTCAAGCATGCACCGTGCTTGTCGTAAGCGACATCAGATCCACTACGCTAGTCACTTGTTTATTCCATTATAGTGACCGAATTTTGTTTTCCTACATAAAATGCGATGTAGTTCAGTTCCGAAATATGATCTTAACCAAAGAACTCTATGGAAAATGGAAGAGTGACAAGAAGTCGCTTTTTTGCTTTCCTGAACACGTTCAAAATATAGTCGCGATGTTAAATAACCCGTGATAATGTGCCAACCAAGAGGTTATAAGAACTTTCTGTGAATCCCACATACTTGTGTACTTGGATGGCCCGTCTTCATTGGTTGTGCGCGCCCCAGCATAATTTCGATTCTCCGGAAATTTGCTAATTTAGCTATTGTGGTTCCTTGGAGTCTCGAGGACAGCCTGGCCAAAGTCTGCCCCGGAATCTCATATAAAGCGAGAGGGAGAAACCATATAGTCGTCTGATTCAAATCTAAGGTTCTTAATATGGTGGGTCGCTGAGTTGTACTGGGTGCGTTCTCCTTCAGTTGTCATTATAATTTGGTAGATAGTAAATATTTGGAAAGGTGGCTGATACTGCCGAGACTGAACCGCTTGGGTATTGCTCTGCTTCAGTAACGTGAACACAAGTACTCCTCAGTGTGCAGCAGCTTTAAGCGATCGTGTGAAATATCCTGTAAAGGCTCCATAAGTGATATCATATCATGTCAAGACATCCGGTGATATCGAACGAGTGGTAAAAGGACGTGCATAAATGTGACTGACAATTCGACAATAGAAAGGTGAACACCAGAAAACGAGCAACTACTTGAGGATCTGAAAATGAAGGCTCTATGATTACCGTCTGCTTAGTGGAGTAGCAGATACCATATCGCCGTTCAGCTCGTATGTGGAGCCTAAGTGACCTTCCTCGTGCCATATCGTTTCCGGTGACTTGAAGTATTTATTTAAAGATGGATTACCTAATGCTTGCTTTGAAAAGTGCAATTCCTTTTTTTTTTCGCTTGAACATAGCGCAGACCAACAGCCATCAATTGTTTTCGTCCATGGTCAACAAAATCGTGGCGGAGTCGTCTGCAACGCGAAAAACTCTCGTCGACATTCACTTGTCTCTCTAATAGTCGCCGTGTAAGCCTACTCCACACTAGTTGTCTTTGCGAACTCATCTACAGAACTTGAAGTTCTCATTTCGAATGACCATTCCACGTTTATTTTTCAAGGTTATTGATTTGCCGCATCCGATAGCAATACGAGTTGTCTGCCTTCAATAATTTTATACTAAAAATACCCACATATAAAGGAGTGAGACCACATTAACTGGTCTACGACATGTTTCAACCACTACCTGTTTCAGGTGTTAATGTTATCCGCGAATACCGGCCGGTACCGTTGTCACTATCGAGCTCAATACCGTCAGGTGCGTTTTCACTCTTCCACTTCATACTCGTATGCCCGGTCGTTCTCCTCGTACTTCATCAGCGAACGTACTCCGGTTACCATTTTCTTTACAAAAACACTTCAAAAACTTCATTTATTTTGCATATTGATATTGGTTAAAATGTTAAAGAGTTAAGAGTACTCTCTTCTATAACGAGTACTATTACTATTATTAAAGAGTAATAACGCTACCCTATCACTCAGCGAATTTGCATTTCCACAAGAAAATTCAAACGAAGCATAAGATAAAGTCTTAGTGTTTGTAAATCTCGATGCTTATTCCGTAGATTTTTAGTTAGTCATCTACAGTTGGTTGGTTAAAACTTGATCGGGGGATAGCTGTGCGTACTGCTTCTGCCAATACATAAGTCGATGTCATTGTGCTCGCATGAAAAGCACGATTCTGCTGCGCTAGATCTGTCTGATTCTGACAAATAACGTGTTGTCTTTCGATTGATTCTGACCTTACCTAAGTATTTTGGGGTCATTTCACTTACAAGATAGAATTATACATAAATCACCAATATTTCTTGTTTTGTAGCTGAGATCCGATACTAACGAACAGTTTGGGATACCACTCAATGAGTTACGAACTCGCTTGGAAAGCCAAAAAGACTCCATTAAACTTCGTGATGACCAAATTGACGCTTTACTCAGGCAAGCCGACAAAAATGGCGACCATTTCATCACTGTCGAGGAATTCGAAGAACTGGTTAGTTCTACTTTGGTTGTAATCGGATTTCACTTCTTGGGTGAAGTTTAAAAAATGAAAAAGTCGAAAGAAGCGACTGCATAACCTAGAGATGCTTGCACAGTTGTGTGTGCATCATTCAGGGCACTACATTTATGATATAAGAAAGATTTTCGACGCGGAAACAAAGATTCATGCGTAGGAAGAGGGAGAAAAGTAAGTCATAAGCATAGCCCGTCCAAATCATGGGTTTGTTGCGAGCTTTAAACATGATTTCTCAGGCTCCTCTGCCAGATGGAAGGCCAACGTTTTTCTCCTAAAATCGATTATGCTTTAGTCGCCAGAAAATTTTATCGGGCAGTCCCATAGTGTTCGTTTCGTTACGACTATTCGTTTTTTAATGAGAATAAATTCTTTCCGATCGTATACAACTTTCTCATTTCTCGTGCTCAACATTCTGACAATAATACGCGTTTCTCAAGTCATTTTTCTTTGGCCGACTTTTTTTTTTGCGCAATACATCAGCTTTTTTTAGTTACACAAGTTTATTGTTAACGCTTTGGGCAGAGTCCGTTCTTTTCTTTAGTTTCCCACATTTTACTACACCCAATCCTTTGAAAAATCTATTTCTCTAGGTTCAAATCTTCTCAGAAGATAAAGCAGGGGTCAAAGGTTAGCTTTGATAGATTGTTCGTCAAGGGGTGAACAAGAAAAAATGGTAAGGTCAAGGGCAATTTGGTCCTTAGCAAGCTCTAAAAAGGAGAGATCTGAAGATTCCATTGCATCTGATTAAGATAATGATATGCTATCAGCAATTTGTGCTCATACGACCTGTGGCCATGCGGTGGCAGTTAATCTGCAGTGAATCAAAATGGATGACGTGGATGATATGCTCTGAAATGACATATTTCGATGAACTGTATGGTGTTTGGAATATTATATGAAAGAGGCCAGTATTTATAAAGAAAAACTCTGCTCCAGGAGACTGATAATAATTAAAGAGATCGAAAAATTTTTTCAACTTTTTTTTAAACTTCTAGAAGCTAGAAACTTCGAGCGCCAGAATGGAAAGATTAGTGGGATTCCTAACCCGGTTTTAGATGCAACACTCTAGCATACCAGTTTCATTCAACGGTCAGGTTTCAAGGCCTATTCGCTCATCTCCATTTGACAAGCACTGCGAGCTATCGTAGAAAATTATGCTTACAGAAGAATAGTATGTTTGCCATACTTGTCCACAAGATTTGTTGGGGAATATATAGAGCTAAGAAGAAGCTCTTCCTCATCGGAAGAAGGCATTCTGCCTAGCTCCCTACAACCATAGATAAGCGGACTGAATATCTACACCCTGTGTAAACACCGCGTCAGTGGAGTATCATCTTCTTCATACTACCTAAAAGATGTTTCCGAGTGTCAAGCCTCATCTCAGGTGTCTTCAAGTTACAAGGATAATCGACTCGACCAGCATTCCACAACATTCATAAAGAAGAAATCCTCAAAGAATAACTGAAAACGCGAAATGTTCGTGGGCCGCGAATGCGAAAAAAAACGAACCGAATGCAAGAAGTGCTAGGATCAGCACAATGGATGTGGTGACGGGTCGTGTAAAATAAATAGTAAAAATAGAAAGGAAGTACTATTACATGAAAGGTGTTATCTCGGCTTCGCATGAATAAGACTTTCCTCTTCAAAATTTCTTTCATTGGCACGACTACTAAGATTTCAGATGACATCGAGAGAAGCACAATCATCGCAGATAAAACGAGCTCTCTATCTGATCGCAGATCAGGTGATCACTCCGTCACAGAGAATCGAAGCCCACTCTTATATCGACGAATATACATGTTATCCTCCTCCTTTGTTCATACTTCTCATCTCCATTATTGAGGCTAGTATTGAAACTTCTTTACCGAAAAAATATTACGTTATCAGCTTATCATGTTCTTCGATTACATGCGATGCATAAGCTTCCGCTTACAGTTACTACTATGAAATTCGATAGATTCAGTAGGGTTAGGTGTACTATCAGAAAAATTTCCACTCTTGAAAGATACTGTAGAAACTTCCGAACTGGCCTAAATGATTATGACACTGCGGTCAGTTTAAGTAAAGTCGATGGCAAAGTCGAGTCGATGAGTTGTGCCGTTTTACGACTTTTGTGCACCACTACAAAAATCCGTTTACACCTAACTGATGGAGATGATTTCACCTACGTGGAAGTCGATTTGGGATTTGAAATGTGGGAACAACAACTTTCTTGTTTGCTGGAGTATAGAAATCTACTTATGATCTTCCTCTAGACATCTTCTCTTCTTTATAGTGGACGTTGCAAATTAGCGCCTAAACTACAGTTATCCGCTTTAAATTCACCTCTTTGAAGAAACTGAAATTATGAACGCTGATATTGTAGACGGCAGTGTTCTTCTATTACTACTGGACAAGTTCGCCAAAGCCAGGTGAAGACCTTCTCACATTCTGTGCTGGCTGCTTCGTGGACAACCACATTGGCCCTCTGCTATTCGCCCCGAAGCTGAGATCACAGGTCTGGAGGTTCCTCAGCTACGCCTTGCTCCACGCTGGGCAAGTTGATTCGCTCTTCGTTAAAGTCAAATAAGCGAAGTAATCCAACAATATTTCTCACTTGGATTCAGAGTTCTCCACCTGCTGGGTAACATAGTGGTTCAGATCCTGATCGGCGTGCCACTAGAAGTTGTGCACAAACCTTGGCGAATTGCACCGCTTTACCTTATGGCAGTGCTCTCAGGTACCGCAATTTTACAAATTAATCTCTCAAATTTACATATTAAAGTAGTAAGTTATCATCGTGGACGACATTTGAGCAGGGTTTTTTCATACCAAAAAGAAAGTGCTACTTGTTTTTACTTAGCAACACTAAGTAGGTAGACACCACATTTTATGAACTTTAGACGAATTGACAGCCATGTTCTGTCTCTTTGTTGAGTTATCATCGCGTTCAATATCCCGATCATGACTTGAACGAGCGTATACAGGGCGCAATTGATGGTTTTCACCAGTCTCATTGATGTTTACTGCTAAATATTTGGATCCAAAATGTGGATTTGGCCTATACATTATTTATAGGAAGCCTACTGATAGGCTAGACATTCTTTTACACATAACGATCAAAAAAGGAATCGGTTTACTGACCTTGACTTGGCCTGATACCTGATTTCGAACTACGTAATGGCCCTCAGTAACCGTAGAATTATTTGGGCTCATATACAAATAACATATATAATTCGTAAAGTTAGTCAAGAACGAGGCTTTTCGTTTTAGGATCCCTTCTGCAGTATACTCTCGATCCTAAGGTATACATGGTGGGTGCATCGGCCGGAGTTTATGCCCTTCTTACCGCTCATCTTGCGAATGTCGTTATTGTAAGTATTCCACTTGGTCATGAGCACACTTTTCTCCCTAATTTTACCACAAAGTCTACTTGTTGTTATTCAGAATTGGACAGAGATGCCATACCGATGGGTCCGACTGACGCTGATCGTGGTCTTCCTCACGTTCGACATTAGCAGTGCCATCATACGACGTTTTTGTGCCGATGAATGCGATTCAGTAGTCTTATAGTATATACTTGTGCCGAGTATTTAGCGGCGTATTGTAATTTCAGGTATCACATTCAGCCCATATAGCTGGAGGAATCACAGGATTCTTCTTCGGAATCCTCATTCTCTACAATGTCGTGGTGATTTTTCTTTACTATGCTTCCAACTATATAAGCAACTATAAAGGTGGTGGATCGGATTAATTGTTTGGAGAAGTCAAGCGGCGGGCTGTGCCAGTGATGGCGGTGTCTCAACGGTACGAAATTTATGCAGTCGAAGTGCATATGCTGTTAAAGAAAGCGTTTTACCAATCTTTAGCGATCTTTAGCAAACGATATACTAGATATACATGCCCGAAGAACGTCATATCTTTTTCCTAGAAACTTTGTAAAAAGTTTTTTCACTGAGTTGGTGATCTTCCGGCTGGGCCCTTGAGATCCTTTGAGGAACGAGTCGCCAACGGCTGTTGTACACCTCTGTTTTAAGACGCATTGCATACCCCGTCCAGCTGATTTTCGACATCTTGGCGTAGGCTGCAGTGTTTCTGGTCTTTGATCGTCGACGTAGGTAAGAACTTTAGGCTCCTTCTTTCAACTGCGTGATAAGAGATATTCCTAGCATCACCTCTGTCAGGAGCACGTTTGATAACGCTGATTCTTATTCCATCTTGCCCACGTAAACTGCCACTCTAGATTCCTGAGTCAGATGTTAAGCTAGGAAGAATTGTATAATCGAAATGTTAGACACACATTGGAGTTCTTCGCTCGTTTCCTCCTGCTTTTCTGTGAAGGTCGTTGTTTATCATTTGACTTCTCAACTCAGATACACCTAGTTGTAGCTTTAATCCTAGACAATTTTATATTTGAAGGCATATTATATAAAAATTGCATATGTGGTAGAGCAAAACGTCTTCCAGAAGCCTTTAAAGTTTCCAACTCCCCAACTACTTTACTAATTGGAAAATTACAGAATTTTCCAGAAAGCAGTTTCGTCGCATATGATTAAGCAGTAGTTGATATCGAATGGACTCCGCTATCAGTTCTGTGTTCTAGATATGCATATCGTTTTCCTGTGTGCTCAATTCCAATTTAATACACAAGGTGTGGGAGTAACTCAATATGAGAGAATCGACGACGAATGCTTGCGTCTTACAGTCTCAAGGGATTTTTCACGTGCATAGCGCATCTAGCTAGTAATGATACAATGGGAACGTTGATTGCAAGGCATAGATAGGAGGGACAAAGCTAGCGATATGCACATAAAATTCCCATTCTGCTACTTAATATAGAAGAGCTCGATCCTGCACTCTTTGTGAAGTAAGCCCTCCATTTCTTCAGGATAGGTAATTTTGTTCGTATTGTTTGAGAAAATGAAAACACTGATTTGATACAACATTAAGCTCCGTAGGCCAATATTCAAACCGACTGTGTATTCAATCACCTCTGCGACGCTTAATGGAGCGGAATTCATGGCGCGTCCATTAGAAATTAATCAACGTCGCGCACTTTACCTACTAGGATACAAATCGCCGAAGTCAGATCCGTACCTGAATTTCTTTAACCAAAGAACGACTTAGATTCACAAATTACATCGTAGCATTTTCTTCTAAGTCGAATATTATCAGAAATAGGCGTTATTGCCTCGGCTCTATGTATTCGGAACAAATACTTTAAGCCTAAAAAAATCTCATTGGCTCAATATTATTGGCAACTGGGAGTGTTCCATCTTTCGTCACAAATTTACCAGCTAGCATTGTTTAAGAATCTGAGATTAGTGAAAAATCACCGGTTTCCAGGAACGTCGTTGGGAGAGGATCATGCAATACATCTGCATGGTGCTGTACGTGGCGTTTCTTGTGTTCATTCTTGCTCTAACTATTTTCCAACGACCAGAATCCGGTCCGATATGGGATTCGGAGAAGTGCACCGGACATAACTAGTACGAACATAGCACTGACTCTCTCAGTCTTTCGGAGTTCATGAATAAGTGCCCGAAAAGTGCATTCAAAATTCAAATACTTGTCTAGAATCAGATCACTTATCAGAGGTGAGTGGTTGCTGCAGTACTGAATTGAATTCCGTCTGTATGACCTCAATAATACTTTCCAAAATATTGGTATCTTTTCACTAAGTTGTTGTCTCTGCATGATCTCTGTTTGCATCGTTTACACTGTGCCTCTCTAATAAAACTTCTTCTGCGAAGTTTAATATCACTCAAAAACCAAAGTGTCCAATTGTCTGGACGTAATCTAGTAACCCTTTGTATAATAATAAAACAAACCATTATCCAAAACACCAGAATGGAAATGTAGGCATACATAATCAGCGTGTGGCGCAGTGCTCGTAGGGACCCTGCAATACACATGAGATCGATTTACGCGCCCGTGGCCATCAAGCCTTCGATCCCTCCGGAGTCGGCAAATTGGTACCAGACTTGTCTGGGGGGATAGCAGCACTGGCTCGATACATCGGTAGGCCACCGCGAGTCATTGTAAAGGTCAGATATGCATTCAATCACCTCCAAACGATGCTTAATGAAGTTTAATTCATGACACATCCCCAGGGATTGATCAACGCCGAGAGCCCTATCCTTTTATCCTTTTACCAAAATGAGACGTGTTTCGATCATAACAAAAAGTCATGTAAAGGAAAGGAATGTGAATAAACAAGTAGATATGCGAAGTTGGAAACAAGGATACAAACGGGGAGGGAGAATCCTCTAGAAAAAGACCAGTTTCTATATAGAACTTTAAAAAAGGCAGAGCAACCCAGTAGGTACTGTAAACCGTAGAAAGATGGAAATGCTGACAATTGGCACACGAGATAAGTCCTTTCCATCATTTTCCTGTGCTACTAAATTTTCACCAACAGACAGTCTGCTTGCTTTAAAAGAGAGCAGAAAAAAGTTACTTGTTATAGCTGCTAAGGTATATTGACATGGTTTCCCACAATTAGTTTAAATCCTGAAAGTTATCAAAATAGTTATCCCTCGTCGAATTTTTACACATCCCTGGTGGTCAATAAGCAGAAAAGTTCGTCAAAATTGCAATTTCTAAGAAGTTGAAAGTTGTTAGAACAATAGGAAAAACCGAGCAAAAATTAGCAAATAGTGTTCAGAAGTGTCAGACGATAGTGAGTTGGACTCCTAAAAACCTAGTCGCTTGTTCCCTTTGTAGTAGATTTTCGTAAGGGCACACGAGAAGATTAATTACTCAAACGAAACGAATGGGGAAAGCTAAGGGGAGGAGCACTTGGACCGATAGGAAGGTCAATGGAGAGCTGGTAGTTCGGCTCGAGCGACAAGCATGTCAAGCACCGCATATTTCTTGATATATTTGACCGCTCTCTCATGGGTCAGAAGCGTGAAGTCCAATCCGTTCACCTAGAATAACACCTCTTCAGAGATAGGAACACCTTTTTATAGAAGACCTAGAGGAAGTTGAGCAACGACATTACCGAAAGTATCTTATCGTGTCGTCTGAGACCGGCTCGAGCAGCAGGCGAATCTTCGTCGATGTGAGTAATGTAGATGCCCTAGACGATTAGCGAAAGTTTGCTTGGAGTTTTTTCGACAAGGAATCGCTTCCTTAGTGGTCTTTTAAGCAAAACACCAAACGAAAAACAAATGAGAGTTTCCAACTACAAGCCATTAGATATGCTTGTGCAAAACCTTCGAATAGAAAACGTCTCTTGTTTTATTGATCAAATGAGCCGCACAGCTGTTTGTAAAACTGAATTTGTGAGGAATAATTGAGAAATTGAGATCGATACTTCCCTTCTTTCTTAAAGCATACAAGCTTTTGACGCTCAGAAAACATGCTTAAAGATCTTTTATATTCACGTAGCGTCAAAAAGGACATAAGGTCTCAAAACATACAGCCTCTTTGCCAAGAAAAGTCTCAATCGCGAAGTCGGAGCACACCTGGTCAGGATACTTGAACGGAGCACAGGATGGATCCTGGTCAATGCCGCCGCCGATTTTGAATCCAACACGATAGACTATGTTTCCATGATAGTCCACTGCTGAAACATTAGCACATTTCATCTGCAAACAATTTCTAGCCTCTAAAAGTTGAAAATTTTCCCTTGGCTCAATCCAACTTCACGATGAATGGCTAGCCACTCGTTGATTGAAACTCGTAAAAGACACTACATAACCGCAATAGACAACCGCTGCAGAATAACAATAGAATTTGGCTCAGAACTTCAGGAAATAATTGTTGGAATCTGCTGAGCGTCAGTGTGATCTTTTCCGGGTGCCAGAACAAAGAAGAAATCCGCCAGATCTTCAACTACTACAAAAAAATATAGCTAGCTAGTTGTGCTTTACAGCAGTTAAACTTGTATAATCTAGTAAATTTTTAAATTTTCGGACATTGTGCGGTTCGTACTTGTTCCTTTCTTTCGTGCCCATCACTCAGAGCTTAACTTCGGAAGTGACAACAAAGGCATAACGTTCTGGAGTAAATTAATGCTTAAGCTGAAAATCCACAAGGTTGGAAAAGACGACAGCTCTTACGCATAAGCTATCGTATTCTACATCGCATCTGTGTTCTTTCTGTAGTGTTCTCCAGAAATACGACAATACCATCAACAATATGAAGAATACGAAGAACTTACTAACAAACTACCAGCAGTGCAAGTTCATGACGCTATGCTTAAAAGGGCCCTTAACAGCTATCCCATGCTTGTCTATCAAGTAATCCCACAATAAAAATATTTAATAAATAAGGATGTAATATAGTTAATTATATAAGATTTTAAAAAAGGATAAGGCTCTCGGCGTTGATCAATCCCTGAGGAATGTGCCATGCATTCCGCTTCATTAAGCATCGCTTGGAGGTGATTAAATGCACACCTGGCCGTTACAATGACTGGCAGTGGCCAACCTATGTATCAAGCCAGTGCTGCTATCCTCCCAGACAAGTCTGGTACCAATTTGCCAACCCCGGAGGGATGGAGGACTTGGTGCGCGATGGATGCAGGGATTGATTCCAAGTGTGTGTCGCAGTGGCGCCACCAACCACTGCGCCACACGCGCCCCTTATAAGATCAGTACGTAATAATAATATTAAGATATAATATAACTTTAATGTATAGACAGATAGAAAAGCGCATGATAAATTTCTCATTGGCACTGGTGAACAATGACGACGAGGAATACATTTTCGAACTGATATGTCGATCAATATCATATCACAGTAGTTCACAGTTTTACAATTCACTCACTACTTTAACGGATTACGTAGCCAACCGAAGGAAAACACAACAATGTTATCGCCAACCCTGATGTTTCACTGACTACTTCGGAACAAGCCGTTCTCGTAGTTCTGTCTTTTCACCACTTTGCCAACAACAAGTCAATAGTAGATAGATAATCAAGAAGAACAACGTCAGTATCTAAAGAGCCTACATCAGTACTACCATTTGCAATGGACGGGACGAATACGCGTTCTTTGTCATTGGGCTGGTGCGGTGGTCCATCTCCTGTTTAGTTCCCAACACATGGCAGTGTCATGTCGAAAATTCGTTAGTTCTAAGTATGAAATGTCTACGTACCATTTGACAGGTTTCATTTTAACGAGCACAAAAAACGACGATATCATCAATTGCATTATGTGCATCTTATGGAATTTTCAAGGTGGAAAGAAATTAGGAGCATTTAAGAAATATCATGCTCTTCCAGGGGAGCAGCACTGGCTCGATACATCGGATTGGCCACCGTGAGTCATTGTAAAGGCCAGAGATGCATTCAGTCACCTCCAGCGACGATTAATGAAGTGGAATGCATGACGCATCTCTCAGGGATTGATCAACGCCGAGAGATTTATCCTTTTTTTTACCGCACTCTTCTATTACCGGAAAAGTAGAACCCATAACAGACTCGAATAATTTAACAAACTCAAAGTAGGGTAAGCGCTAATTATGCTTTCGTGGATTTAGAAATAGCCCAGGATTTTCTTTGAAAAGAATTTTGCTTCCACTGCTTCGTAATGTTGTAGGATGGTCGGCCAAGACCAGTGCCAAATAACTCGAGAGTTCATAGAAGCAAGAACTGTTTCGGACTGACTAAGAGATATCTGGTCAGATCAGCAAGAGCAAACTATAAAAGCAACAGAAATTGTCCGAAAAAAGAAATTAGTAGGACCGATTGCTGCTTGCGAATCCATCTTAATACGCAACGAGAACTGCGCACTTTCTGAAGAGGATGATCGCGGTTGGTAAAAAGTGGATCCTGCACAACAACAACACTTCCTTGAAGCCTGAAAACGCGAGAAAGCTTTGTTAATCACTGCAGAAGCTGGTTTACGTTTGGTAAAGAAGTGTTGTGAAGCAGTGATTCACCTGGGCTTTAACAACGAGTCTTGTGCTATCAGCTACTGCCACAATTGAACTATTGGTTACAGCTGTGTGTTTTCGAAGAAGACTTCTAAGACTTCTCTTCGAATCTCTATTCCAATTCAATAAGAATTCACCAGACCTCATATCCATAGAATTCAGACCTTTGATTACAATGTACTCAATTTCTGCAGAACACTTTAAACTAAATGAATTTCACTTCTTTGGAAGGCTAAATAATCAAACGGATCAATCTTCTTTTTGTCCGAAATCCCTAGAAATGATATGAGCGGAGAATCATGCAGATATTAGAAAGATGATGGGCGTTGAACGACCAAAATGGCACATACATAGCTGATCAGTTCTGCCTTGAGATAAATAAATTTTAGATGTGCACCTTTGAGAAAAAAAGACGAAATTTTCGGTCTAATAGGACAGAAAATGATATGCCAAGTCCTCCATCACTGTGGGGTGGGTATGTTCCTAGCAGACTTGTCCCGCAAAAGCTTCTTCCTGTCCATGAAGCCGGGGAATGCATGTGTTAGACACCTGGGAACGCTTCTAGAGCGGTCGTGGGAATCCGCACGGAGTCAATTCGACCAGCACTGAATAGGAATACAAAGACCCCAAGTAGCGGACGAACTCACATGCAAGTGCGAACATCTTCGTGGACAACGAATAAAAGAGAATGTATCGGATGAAGGAACCGTTGAGATCCGCACAATGTGTGAAAAAATTGGTCATATGAGTACTATAGAAGACGCCCAGAAAAGAGAAAGGAAGCCGGACGAGCCGTTGTCTCAAGAAGAATGATCACCCGTTATTGATCTCAATGTTTAACTTTTATTTAATGCGTATTTTTTCAAGGCAGGGTATTATGTGAAGTACAACCGCAATGATGTTAACCTATTTTTAACACTTGGAACCCCTGGGTCGCCTCGAATCCCCGATTATCCTTTCGGCGACGAAAAATGCTAAGCAGTAAATGAAAGTTGAACACTGTGATTTCTTCCACAGTTCCAGCAAAACTGGGTTCAATGTTTATTTGTGTCCCACAGATCACTCCTGTTGACTGGCCATAGCTGATAGCACCGTTAGAGCAAAAACTAGCTGAGAGAAAGGCAAAATAAGAGTCTCGCCGGTACAATGGGTAACAACATGTGAGCCGCGAAGGGATAATCGCGGGTTCGAAACCTCCATGAGGTCCCGATTCTTGCTCACATCTCAGCATCTTTCCGTTCCGTTTGCCTTGGTAATCTTCTCAAGTAAGAATTCACAGAACTGGAATCTTTATTGAGAAGCAGTCAACCATCAAGTGACTCGAGTACACACCAGCATTTCGTTTCAGAAGCGCATCCGAATTCTCCACTTCGTTATCTCCGTTTGCAAGACCACTTTTTGGTTTCACCGTGTTTTTCGAGAAGCTGGCCACTGGCATTATGCCGGAATCCTTTGTGAAATCGAAATAGTTTTAGCTGGTCTCTAGATTAAAATCTCAAACTTCTCGGCTTAGGTAAATTCTACGTAGAGATGAACTCCCAGCATCTAGTTCGCACTTTCACATCTAGGAATACTTTCTAGCCACGCCCACGCGATAGATTCATGAAGCAGGGGTCTGCGCTGGGGCATTATTTGCTTCTCGTATAAAATTCGAACTAAGTAGAACAACGGCATCAACGAGCAGTGAAAGTAGTCAAGTATACTGATAATATCTGAGAAAAGAAATGACCATAATTACTTTAATTTGTTTCAGTAGTTCATGAAGTAAGTTTTCGCTCAGCGGAATTTTGACTTACTTTCTTCTTTTCTCAACTGAATGGCTATGCTGAGGCACTCTATGGATTCACCAGCCGAGTGACCGTAGGCCGTCATTGGACCCAGCGCCTTCGTCACCAGATCAACCCAGCAGGGTACAGAACTTACGTCTTAAGGCTAGAAACAAGGTTACGAATACTTCGGATGTAGATTAAAGACTCTTTAGAGACTCTAGACATCTAATAAGATCGTGTAATTGTTCAAGAATTCCCTGGAGTTCCTTATAGCGTTAAAATGAGCTCACACTGAGAGTAGGTCTTAGTAAGAACAGAAGGAGAAATCCGAGAAATTTCAGAACACGAAGCTCTTAATTGGCTATGAGAAACGGACAAAGCATTTCATACAAGGAATAGCTTCAACTGATTGTATGTATCTTGTCGGAAATATCCCACAGTTCTTAAAACCATTTTGGCATAGTCTTTGTAAGCTGTAAATTCTAAAAATGCTATAACCACTTACTTGATACTTGATACTTGAATGGCTCGTCCTCACTGGTTGCGCGGGCCCCAGCATAATCTCCACTTTTCGTAGATTTGCTGGTTCAGTCATTATGGTTCCCTGGAGTCCCAAGGTAAGCCTGGCCAAAGTCTGCTCCAGGTCTTCACCACCACGGGCAGTCGCAGCCCTTGTGGATCAGAGGGAGATTTACCACCATGCGATTTTGATACCAGAACGGTGGTGAATCCTGGTATTGGTTTACTCTTAGCTAGGCTTCCTGGTGGAAACGCCGGACTCCTTCTCAGCTTGGGAGACCTTGCCAGGAGATGAATTCCCCGCTGTACATCGCAGTCCGACACCAAGGAACACCTCCCAGCCACGATGAGGAGGTAAACCGTTGGTAGGATAACCACTTAAGCTTGGAATATTGTTCTTACATGATTTAAGAATCTGCTACTACCTCAACAATACTTCTTTCTCACAACTATTATCATCCTACGTGTTTCCTGCGCACAAAAGTTTATTACGTAGTTACAAGCTTCTAGTTGTGCTTATTCTCATCGAATAGGTGTTTGGGATACCGAACTATTGAGAATAGTTGACAGTAATTTGGACCGTATGAAGATGAGCTGATGAAATTCTGGATTTTTCCAGCACCTAATCCTTTGACTGAATAAAATAATGGAGAACTTCCTTATCAATCACAATATCCATTCAGATGTGATTGTTTGAAATGAAAGTTCCCAAGCCCTATAATCACCCAAGTTCTTAATGACTCAATAAATCAAACAGAGAGATAAATCCTGGACGTGTTTCATGTTAGAGTGAGAGAAAGAGAGGAATAGAGCGAGAGAGAGAGGAAGAAGGAAGAAAGAAAAGATACAGAGAGAAAAAAAAGAATCCTAATCGCAACATAACGGCTCTGAGGAAGGCAAAATAGCCGAAACGTCCGTCAGCCATCGACCAACAACACCAACAACAACAACGACAACTTATACCAATCTCGCACCAGCTCAACAAGATCTGTCATAAAAAAGCATAAAGCTCTCAGCGTTGATCAATCTCTGGGGATCCGCCATGCATTCGACTTCGTCAAGTATCGTTGGAGGTGATTGAATGCATATCCGGCCTTTACAATGACTCGCGGTGACTTACCGATGTATCGAGCCAGAGATGCTATCCTCCCAGACAAGTCTGGTACCAATTTACCGACCCCGAAGAGATGGAAAGCTTGGTGGGCCATGGGCGCGGGGATCAATTCCACAAGTAGGTCGCGGTGGCGCCTCCAACCACTGCGCCACACGCGCCCTTCATCTCTTTCAACATTCATCATCTCTTCATAAGAGTCGTAAATATTGATGACTTTATTGCAATACGCTAATTATAAAGATAACACTGTTAGAGAACGAAGACAATACCGAAGAACGAAGACAATGTTGGATCAGATTAGGAATGTCCTTAGCGACACTCGCAAGGAGAGAATAGTTGACGAATAAAAATCGAATACACATAATATTCGGACACTAAATGGCATGAAACAATTTAGATTCTACAGTTTCGACCTATATTCAAAGCCAAAGTACGATTCCTATCCGAGCACGACAGCGCAGAGTGAATAAAGTCAACAAGGTCAACACTGAAGACGGTCATCATAACCCTGTATGAGTCAACGAACAGAACAGACACCAATCGATCAATCGCCATGGCACGGCGATCGATCGATCGATCGATACGCATCGATGCCACACGTGGGAGAGAGGATCGGTTACTGATCAGTGTCCGGGTAAATTGAACGGGGTCTCAACAAACTGAGAATTGTTTTGCATTCGCTTGAAAGTGTAAAACAAATGTCCATGGCTAATTTGAGCGGCTAATTTCATCGCAAGAAGAAGATTCTAAGTTTCCTAGTAGTTGTAACAAACTTATGCCACTACGTAAAACGGACTTGACTTCCCTTTGGTCCCTAAATACTTCAGAAAACAGAATCCGTTCCTTAAATACCTTCTTACCATCCTACAAGTTCAAAAGCAAATTCCAATCGACCGTCTACCTCAAATGGCCGCGTCTTTCGTAAGCCGTGAAGACTAAAGACGAAAGATCGGGACACACAGCACTCCTGGCCTCGGCGCGACCTTTCTGAATGAATTCCGTGTCATTTCTTCCGGATCGGCGTCTCGGTATTTCTCTATTAGTTACGTACTTGTTAATCTAATAATAAAATACTCATGTAAATGCTAGGCTGTATATGCCAGTGTTATAAAACGTTTCCATGAAGAAGTCCAGCTAAGAGTAAATCAATACCAGGATCCACCACCATCCTGGTACCAAGCTATTCGCATGGTGGCAAACCTCCTTCTGATCCTCAAGAGTGGTGATGGCCTGCGGTAGTGACGACCTGAGCGGACTTTGGCCTGTCTGACCTCGGAACTCCAAAAAACAACGGCTAGACCAGCAAAACTCCGAAAAAGGGAGATCATGGTGGATCCCGCACAACTACTGAAGAAGGGCCATCCAAACATCCAAGTAAGCATATAAATGTCCATGTAGACTCGCCCACTTCCTCAACATCGTAGGACATCCTGAATAATTTCCGTCGTACCTGGTAAGTTCTGCAATTGCGTCACAACATTTTTCCGTCGTTTTTCATATCACTTCAGTTGAACTTCGGTTTCTGTAACAGTTGGTCTTTGTTTCCGTGGCTTATCAACCAGGATTTGGAGCACGGAGGAGCAGTAATGTATTTTATTCCGCATACCAGACAATCCTGAAGAAGTTGATGGTCAGGTTTTTAGTTTGTGTCGTTGCAGAAAGGAACTACCTGTAGATTTCTCGCTTACGACTTAACAATATGAGATTTCTGACAGTTAAACTGCTGGCAGTGCTTAGTAATGGCTGTTAGGTGAACAACTTTGTGCTCTGTCTTTATAACTGGTCTTTGTCACAGGATTTGGCTGGTTTGCTTCCACAGTTGCCTGATTTTTTATCGTTTATTATCCGTTCTTTTTTTTGTTATACCTGCTTTTCTTCAAAGGTTAGTGAACTGAATAGTGTTGTTCTGAACGACATCCTAGTGCTTTCTCTGAAATGGTAACGAGATAGCTTGCCAAGCTACTAGAAGTCGCCGTACATTGTCGATACTGTCGCTGTATGGTGCATGCTTTGTTAAAGAATAGAGATACAGTAATGGTTAATGTTACCTTCAGTGGGAAATTACAGTGCGAAAATGGCTGAACAGAAATCGGATACCTCGGACGTTCAGCGTTTCGACGAAATGTGGTTGCATCTGACCCCTCGTGGGGCCACCGTCCCATACAGTGTTTGCCATGATTCCGACGGCAATGTCTGGGTGAGGTATACACGTCTTGTCTTCGTTTCCAGTTGTTGTTCCTCAAACCTTCAGTACTTCCTTGCCGTAGTTTATGCTGCCATCTCACGTTCTAAACGTGTTTTAGGTAGCAACTAAAGGAGGCTTGTTTAAATTCGATGGTAATCGAAGGACTACGATGTGGGAGCGAAAGAATTTGTTTCCGAAAAAAATGGCGCCGTTCCCACAAGTCGCTTTTTATAATGGAACGGTACGTTGGTTGCACCTTTTAGATTTCTTCTCTGCCCAATAGCTTCTAGAAAAGCCCATGGATGATGTCATGCGAATCTAGGTTTATATTTCTAACAAATGAAAATGGGAAGGTACCACCCAGCTCCGCTCAAATTTAGCTAAGTAGTTACGTGTTGTAACAACCATTTAGAATGCGTCTACCAGTGGATGTAACTTTTAGCAAACTCTGAGGTTTGGAAAACTTGTTTTAACTATGGTGATGCTGAGATATTTGCAAAACTCTGGGCCGCTGGTGTGTGCGGTGGAGACAGAACACGCTATTACCCTTGTCGGGAGCTGACGCTGTTATTGACCTATAGTTGCTAGCAGCAATCCGTCAACAGGATTGATCTGGAGAGCACAAATCGGCATTGAACCCAGTTAAGCTGAAGCTATGGTATGAATCACACCATCACTTTTTATCTACTGCTTACTATTCTTTTTTTAATGGTAGGGTATTATGTAATAAATGACCATAATGTTGCTGAGGTTTTTGCAAAACTCCGGACCGCTGGTGTTTTCGATGAGCACCGAGCACACTTTTACCCTTTCCGGAGGCGAACGCGTTCACCACTACACTATGCGAGTCCTTCGTTTCGCGTTTCTCTCAGTTTTATTCTTAATTGTTGTTTTAACTTATTTTGATTCGAACTCACTGTTGCTGTTTCGTTAGTCAGATTGTCTACACCTGTGCTGAGGATAAAGAACAAACAACGGAACTTCGTTTCTTTACTATGTCTGGAGAAATGATACACGAGCAGTTTATTGATGGACTCTGTGAGTCAAGTCAACCTCACATCAAGTTTTATTGATTTCTGACTGACATTTAGCTCTCTGTTGCAGTTATATCGCTGACTATTTCGGATAATGGTGACATGTTTATGAGTAAACAACCAACAGGATCTGATTCTATCATATACCGGTAAGAGTTACAACTAAAGCCGTTTGTATTTAATTATATTCCTCTTCCTTCCTCCTTGCTATGTTCTGTGTAGAGCGTCTATAGAGACACCACTTGCGTGGGAAGAAGTTATCAAGTCCTCGGATGATGGTTTCTACGCATTGTGTTCCCTTGACAACAACACTCTTGTTGCTGCTATGTCGACTCGCCCTGTAAATATGTTTTCGAAGTGAGTTCAAATGGTTCATCCTATCTTACCCTCTGTACTCTTTGTGCAGTGTCAGCAATGTCCGTCACCAGTCTCCTTCACATTTAGGCAAAGAATGGTTCTCATCGATACCAATTCTGGAAAGATTCGATCGTCATTCAGCAAAGAAGGGAAGAAATCCAGCGATATATTCTTTCCTAGGGCTATCCGCAAGTAATTGTTACGCTGAAATTGGGAAAAAATGGTTTCTCTGCGCTATAGCTTCTACGCTTTGTTTAGGTATGGTGATGATATGATTATTATGGATAAGTCGGGACGATTTATGTGCTTCTCTGCTGACGGGAAATATAAAGGATTATTAGCAGAGATAGACGCCTACCTTGCAAACAGCTTTTGCATCAAGGATAATGCGGCACTGATGGCACTTAGTGGCGTAGTTCTGGATCATGTAGGTCTTCATGGCAATCCGCTGCTTGCTTCATGTTGAAATCTACTTTAATCTCTCTTCTTACTTCTTTTGAAGTCTTCATTTCCAGGAGAACCGAACAATCTGTGATGATTGGCTGGAATGGATAGACCTCGACGGTTCTTCATGGAGGAAACAACGAGAGCAACGGAATGCTAAGAAAGTTTCTACTTAGCCATAAGCATTGTATATTTGAAGGCCAAATCGCTTTTCACTTTTCTACATATCGCTAGTTCTTTCTTCGTTATATTATTATTGTTATTAATTTTATGCGCATCGTAGACACTTCCCATTGTTTTTTCGAAATAAAGGAATCCTGCTTTCTCACAAAGCTGTTGGACGATGGCAGAATTGTATTACTGTAGTACATTTAGTTAGTAGTGCTAGTAGTTGTAGTTACAGAGATGGACAAATTGTAAAATCCATTCCATATAAGTCTAGTCATATCAACACAAAATTTGGAAGAAGATATAGAGCGAAACACCAATATGAACGGAGTGTTCCATTCTAACTTCAATGACGGTGGACCAATTGAAGAAATACATAAATGAAAGGATAAAGTTCTCGGCGTTGATCAATCCCTGAGGAATGCACCACGCAGTAGACTTCATTAAGCATTGTTGGAGGTGATTGAATGCACATCTGGGCTTTACAATGACTCGTGATGGCCTGCCGATGTATCGAGCCAGTGCCGCTATCCTGCCATATAAGTCTGGCGTCAGGTCGCCGACCCTGGAGGGATGGAAGGCTTGGTGAGCTACGGGCCCGTGGTTCGATCCTACATGTGTGTCGAAAGGCGTCTCCGATCACTGCGCTACACGCGCCAAGAAGTGCGTGCCACTGTGCAATAATAGTTCAAATTTACTGGAGTACCCAGGGATCCTGGATATGTTGTGTAGTTCATGGTGTGTTAACGACGTTTCTTGACCGCGCATTCTCTTTCCCAAAATAAGCAATGAACTGAATGACTGTTAAGTTGGAGCTCCATCGCTCTCTTGTTTTGTTTTTGTTCAATATTGCCTTATCAGTCATTGATAAACAGTCTTATCTTGTGTGGTTGACCGGCAGACAACTCGGTATTTATCTAGTTTTGTGCTCCTTAAGTGGTTGCTATATTGCAACTCTTATACAAATTATACTTCGAAGAGGTGAGGCTTAGAAAGACGTAGCGTCATTTTACAATGGTGTTGTCCGAATGCTGAGCGAAGAATATGGGATTTAAAATTGGTCCACAATCACATATAAATCCTAGTTGACACCATTTGCAAAGCGTACGTATTGATTTGTCTCAACAAACCGCATTAGGTGACGTTAGCACACTATTGCTCTTGTTGCATTTTCTACATGCACTTGCTTAACACATTCGCGACTAAAAAACTTCTGCACGAGTTATAGCTAAGGAGACATTATGGCTCGCATAACCTCTGTGAGACTGTTTTATTCCTAGTTGATTTATTTTGGCGCATAGAATCCCCTTTTCCTAACTTTCTGGCGGTCTGTTTATAACTCACCCAACGCCGATTTTGTGACCAATGTAGGCCTGGAAAAACAAATTTCCGAAGGAACTCTGACCGCTATTGCGGCTGTTAAGTGACTGTTATTTCAATTCTAGTGACTATGATGGTTTTCGTATGGAAAGGGTGGGTATAGGTGGGTACAAACTCCTTTATGATCTCTATCATGCTGTCAATCCCTCAAGTCCTCCAGTTATCAGTGATACCGTCCATTGTCAGAAAACCATCATCTCCGTAGCGGCGTAAAATTGTGAGTCGTCGCGATTGTGTTAATGTGAATAGGCGTGTTGAAAGAAGCTGGCTTACTTTCATTACACTTGAGGAGTAACACGGTGTCCATACCGTAGGAAGAGTAGGGAGCACTAAAAGACCAAGTTTTAGCAAGAGAGCATGACCTCGTTGTTATCTGCTGGAATTCACGGTGTCCAATCAATGGAGAACTCTTGAAAGAGCTATGTAGAGCCAAGAGGTCAAATAAATACTGCAACTTTCCATCTTATCGGTTTGCTCTGTACGATTTATAATTCATTCAGTCGTACCATGACAGCAGTATTGGGAGAATATTGAGTTTCTTCCTTCATGACCACACTCATTCGCGGTCCACTGAGATTCCAGAAGTTGGCGGATAGGTAAAAATGATAGTTCTGAGAGAAACTCATCTCGTGTGAAGGCACCATACAACCCCGTACCATACTCATTAGTTTAATCCTTAAATGCGACAGAATGAACGCCTTTACAGACGCCTTGACAAGGAGCTGCTAGATATTCAAAAACTTTCTGTTGAGCTTCATTAGAACTGAAAGTATGTGAGTGCTAGAACTACTACAATAGTCGATTCAGACGACTTAATTCATTCTACACTCTTTCAGCCTTAAGCACTCTTTCGAGTTCAGCTAGTTCGTTGTTGGCAAGTGACATCTATACACGCTTCCTTCTTGAATTTCGACTAGAATGGTCCTCATTTCGTTGCTTCCTTTTCTGCATAGAAGCGCAGTGACATCTCTAATTGCATTCAGTTCATAAACTTTTAATGCTGATTATTCGAGTGATAAATAAGCAAGTAGCTATTCTAAAAGAATATAGTCTTACTAGTTCCGCCTATAGTGTAGTGGTTAGAGATGAGCTGCATTATGAACTATCCGGCTCAATCCTGGATTCAGCAAATGTTCTATCCCTCGAAGTTCAGCAAACTGGTACCAGACTTGTGTGGGAGGATGGCAGTACTGAACCGATACATCGGCAAGCCACCACAAGTCATTGCATAGTCCACATATCTATACAGTCACCTGTAATGATGTTCAATGAAGTCGAATGACACCCTTAGCGAGTGATCAGCAGCCAGAGGTCAATCCTTTTCTGTATTCTTACTAGTAAACAGCGGCACAAGTATGCGAGCACACAGGTATTCTCGTAAATTTAGATTTGTAAGCCGTAAACGTAACAATAGATGGATGAATCGGCAACCATAACGTCTGAGACATCGTTATGATTCTTTTAGCAAATTCTACCACGGACATTATCGTGTCCGAGATGACTAAATGCATTCAGATAACAATGGATTCAGCGTTGGGAAGTAGTTTATTCTTTATAATGTATTTTGATATGATGGTTTTGACTACATTATCATGTTTAAAGAAGCGGACCGAAATTACGGTAAGTTCAGTGCACGGTATGTGTTGAAGACTGACAAACGCCGTTAGGAAAAGGTTTTCTTCTAGATAAAGAAGATTGATCAACCTCCTACACGTACGAGTGCCCTATTACAACCGAAAGCAATCGAACTCAATCAGAAAGAGGTAGTTTTTGGTGGATGACGATTCGGAGCAAATGAATGCTTCCCGTTTCAGAAGTTGATAAAAGGCGGCCTGAAAACGGGAAAATATGCTTATCCCACCTTCGACGATATAAAGAGTGATTGGAGTGATAAGGAGCAGAAAACTGGAGGCCATAAAAAATCTGTACGCTTCGTTTTTGTGCTCACATATGATCCACCGAAACCCTTAGCCTTCTCAAATCGAACCGCGCTCTAATCAGCACCTCTTATTTTCCGACTAATTTAAGACATAAACTTTAGGAACTGTGAGGTTAAATGTTGCAGAAAATGAAACAAGTAAGCAGGATAACGCTCGCTAGTACGCAGTCGACATCTTGCAAACCCACTCTTCCCATCGCTTCCGTTGCGGCGAACCCACAATCTCATACCGTTGAAGTGAGTTAAAGGTTTTTGGAAAGCGAAATCAGCAATTACGTGTTATTTCGTCGTCATTAATCTGCGTAACCGCCTATGTTTCAGGAACATAAAAATAGTGGTTATGGAAGGAATGAAAGTGTTAATGTTACCAAATAAACTTTTATTACATTTTTTCTACATGACATCAAAACACTGTGATCTTCTTGAATGGCCGTCGTAAACTACAATATGATAAATGGAAACGTCCATTGACGTCCTTCTTATCTTGAGATTCCCTACTAGAAATGAGCTTCCGCTGTTTATCGCATTTTGAGATTCAGGAACGTTTTCCGGCCACGATAATGCGGTAAAGCATATTCCAATTAGTTGTCAATTGTCATTTAGGGAGCTAAGTTGCCATAGTGTACTCAGTTTGACATATAAAGGTAAATCTCCACGTTGATGAATCCCTGAGAAATGCGGCGTGCATTGGATTTCACCAAGGATCATTAGAGGTGATTGAATTCGTATCTGGGTTACACATTGATTTGCGGTGGCCTACTGGCCAGTGCTGCTATCCGCCCAGCTCAGTCCAGTACGAACTTTCCGATGCGGATTTATGGAGGGCCTGGTGAGATCGGAGCACGAGATGGAACCAGAGACCGATCCATTGTGAATTGAAAGGCATTTCTGACCACTTGGCTACACATGCACCTCTCAGTGTGACATATCAATACTTGTCATAGACGCATTTTCGCACATATTAGATAGAATTTCGCAATAAATATGAGTAGACTGCTTCACATTCGGGTCATTCCCATGACCTTCCTTACATAATTACAATCATCACGACATTTAAGTCTGCATAACTTGTGTCTCCTTTTCGCCCGGCATTACACAGGATCGATCATATTAATCGTAAAGTCATTCACAACGTATACTCAGAAATAAAACATTTGGATGGAAATCCATATATCCTGCAAAAGTAAGTATCAAAACTGTTGAGATACGAATCTGTACAAATCCCTATGCAGTTGCGGTATACTGAACAATCGATGCTTATAGTTCCCAGGATCGACTTTCTATTAACCTCGGCATTGGAATGTGAATGTGTCGTTTTCTTGTCCAGCAATCGCGAGGTTTTTAAACAGCATACATTTACTTCCATAAAAACACAATACAATACAACGCTAGCTGACGTTTCGGCAGTATCGCCTTCTTCAGAGCCTGGAAGGGTATGCTGATATACAATCTACTAGGCCAAACGCTTCAATACCACTTACCAAAAGACGAAAAACTCTCCGGTAATTACATGATCAACAACTTCTCGAAAAAACCCACCGCTTTTTCGTGACTTCCAATGAGGAAGTTTAGAACAGCTGATTATGGTCGCATGTGGTTGACGACTGCACCATCCCACTTCAGAAATTGATGCGAACATATGGGATCAGGTTGCGTATGACTTCTGGGCACTCATTCCTGCTATTCATTGTAGGGTTTTTGGCATTGATCCAAAAAGCCTCTAGGAGTTTTCGCGCTGGTGTTTTGGACTCCTGTGCAAGGATATTGACTTTTACTTCAAAATTGTCTCCGCTGTGCTTTTGTATCCTATGCGTGCTTAGTGGGGTGCTTCGTCTTAGTTTTCGTTTGCCATCTAGGTGTTCTTTTATACGGTTACACAAAGGTCTGCCCGTTTCGCCAATATATTCATCTCCGCAATTGTTACAAGAGATCAGGTATATCGTACCTGAACTCATGCAATCACCGTCTCTGCCGTAAGGGCAAATTACACAATTTGTCGTTTCACACAGACGGTCATACAGGCGGTTGCGAACTAATTGGCGACGTAGAGTAGCCGGTGGTATTTCAACTATCGCTACTGATTCCTCTAGACCTGCCCTTTTTAAGCATCGTTTAATAGCTACGCTTACTTCATTGCTAATAAAAGGCAACATAAACGGGACTTTCTTTTGTCCAAGTGTTTCACGTGGGCGCGTCGCTCTTCTTCTAAACTTACCTCGTGGGGTTACTATTTCGTAGCCATTGGAGATGGCTATTTGCCGAGCCAAGTCGCGCGATTCTTCCTTTAGTTCCCTGGCGGCCGTTCGAACCATGTTTCTCATAATCGCCCTCTTTGTGTGTGAAGGGTGGGAAGAAAGGAAATGAACAAGAATGTTCCTTGTATGTTTGAATGTATGTTCGCATCGATTTTTGATGTGGGATGGTGCAGTCGTCAACCACATGCGACTATAATCAGCTGTTCGACTATAATCAAGCGTTTGCCCTATTAGATTGTATATCAGTGCACCCTTCCAGGCTCTGAAGGCGATACTGCCGAAACGTCAGCTAGCGTTGTATTGTATTGTGTTTTTCTATGGAAGTAAATGTATGCTGTTTAAAAACCTCGCGATTGCTGAACAAGAAAACTACACAATCGATGCTTAGTAATCTACGAAAAATGTCTTCTGTTAGGTCGACCCACAGCTATAGGAAAGAGCCGATCCGATGTATTTAACACTCCCGCGACGGCACATAATTTCGTGTGTTCGCCAAGTGGACGACGCCTAATTTTTCGCTCCATTCACTGTGCCACCACTAGACGTGTCACCGTCCGCTGAGGCAGTTTTCATGTGGCCCGGCCACTTTTGTTGTATATTCCATTCTATGACTTCGCTCATCTAGCGTTTTGGAAAAAATTCTGCGCTTTTCTTGTCCTACGTGTTATAAAACTCTTATTCTGTCCTGTTATCCACTGTGTGGCACATGTGGCGCAGTGGTCGTAGGCGCCCAGCAACACACGTAGAATCGATTCCCGCGTCCATGGCCCACCAAGCTTTGCATCCATCCAAGGTCGGCAAATTGGTACCAGACTTGTCTGGAAGGATAGCAGCACTGGCTCGATACATCAGTAGGCCACCGCGAGTCATTGTAAAGGCCAGAGATGCATTCAATCACCTCCAAACGATGCTTAATGAAGTAGAATGCATGGCGCATCCCTCCGGGATTGATCAAAGCCGAGATCTTTTTTTAATCGATCCATTGTGTTCTCTTCAGCTTCCGGTGGGTGACTTCGGAAGTAGTTCTTGCTTTTCTAACATCTTCAGATAATATGTGCCATTCTTTGCAGTAAATGCTCAGCAAAATTGAGAATTCTGTCTGCGGTGGGGAACGAACGCGCTATTATCCTTTCCGGGGGGTAACGCGTTCACCACCACACCATGCGGGTCCTTCGTTTCGCCTGTATCTCAGCTAGTTCTATCGATCACTGCCATCAGCAATCATCCGTCAACGGGATTAATCTGGGGAGCCCAAATCGGCATTGAACCCAGTTAAGCTGAGGCTAAAGTTGTAAACATAATTTTAACCATTTTATTTACTGCCTATTCTTTTTAATGGCAGGGTATGTTGCGAAATATAACTTCTATAATCCTGAGATATTCGGAAAATTTCGGACTGCAAGTGTCTGCGGCTGGGAACGAATACGGTATTATTCTTTTCGGGGCAGACACCTGCAGTCCGGAGTTTTGCAAATATCTCAGCATTCTAGAAGCTATATTTCGCAACATACCCTGCCATTAAAAAGAATGGGCAGTAAATAAAAAGGTTAAGATTGAGAATTCTGTGCCAACTACCAGTGCAGAAATCCCTTCTTTCCCAGTAAATCGAATATGAGTTTCGTCACTACGTAGTGCTCATCTCCACCTGTGGCAGGATGATCTCGAGTACTCAGCAAAATGTAGATTTATCCACCTTTCGAGTAAAATATGAGCAACTTCACTACGTATTGTGCCTCTTATGTGAAGTTGCCAAGCGGAAGGCGACTCTACCTCTGGATGGCGCAAGTGGCATATGGAATTCGTCTATATGCATCCACTTTCCAGTTTTGTATATTATCCGCAGTTCCTATTGACGAACTCGATTAATGGTCTATTCTCTCATAACAACGGGGAATGGAATAGAATGGCGCCCACGAGCAGGAATCGAGCTCCAATAATGCCTGCACCACTGTGGCAAGAACGCCATAGATCTTTCCATCTCGTCAGTGCTAGTCGGTTCCCATGACACATTCTTCTATAGTCCTTGTCTGTTGATCTCGTCCACAATAAGCTCTCGTATAGCAACCACAAATTAGTCGTAGAAATCTTTCGGCACGTAAGGAAACAAATGTGCAGATTAACTGTCGTCGAAGATCCAGTGGTTGCTGCGATTACTTCGCTACTCCAGTCACCAGTCACTTCATCGTAATCATCATTGCAGTGCTCTTTTCCATTTCATTCCTTTCATTCTCTTCTACTGAGAGTACAAGAGGTTTTACTCAGTTGTTTGGGAACTAATGTTGGGTTTGTAATTTTCTTTTGTTGTATGCATTTTAGCAGTGTTTTTTCGAATGTTACTAATGCCCGTCACTACAGAGCTTATTTCAAGCATTTTTGTAAATGTTCTGTAGTATGAATTGTGTTGTTGACGAATTTCAAAGGTTGGAATTTTAGGTGTCAAAATGGTGATTTCGACAGTTCTACTGCATTGAGTTCAACTTCGCAGGTACACAGCGCCGACAGCTGGAAACATTAATGAAGCGTGGAGTCAAGAAAGTGTTAGCGAACGAACAGTGCATCTTTCGTTTGGAAAATTTCATCATTGTGAATTCGAAGTTGAAGATGAGGAAGGTTGCGCACGTTCCTCAGGCAATGACGACGATGAATTAAAGGCTCTGATGGAAGCAAATTTACGTAACTCTGTTTGAGAACTTGCAGGACTTCGTATAAGCATGTCAGTTCTTTCGCAGTGTCTGAAGTAAACTGGAAAGCTAAAGAAGCTCTACAAGTGGATGCCGCATGAGTTAGATGAAAAATTTGGAGA